TACCCACCCGAAAGCCTCTCAAAAAGTCCAACTCGACCGCCTTCTTAATCAATCTGCTAAGAGCCTCCATTATAAAAAGGAACAAGAAAAGATAAAGAGAATCCCCTTGTCTCAATCCCCTCGAACTAGAGAAGAAACCCGTCGAAGCCCCATTCACAAGGACAGAGAAGCAAGCACTAGAAATGCAAAAAAGGATCCATCTCCTCCACCGCGCACCGAAACCCATCCTCTCCATCAAGTAAAGAAGGAAACTCCAACTCATATGATCATACACCTTCTCAATGTCCAGCTTGCACAAAACACCCGGATCTCCACAACTCAACCTGGAATCCACACATTCACTAGCAATAAGAACTGAATCTAAAATTTGACGACCCCCCACAAAGGCATTTTGAGAATCAGAAATGATACCATCCAGAACCTTCCTCAACCTAGCAGCCAAGACTTTAGCAATCAACTTGTAAAAGCACCCCACCAAGTTGATAGGGCGAAAATCCCTAACATCCAGCGCCCCTCCTTTTTTCGGGATGAGAGCAATAAAAGTGGCATTTAGGCTCTTCTCAAAAGAACCCTGAGCATGGAAAGCATGAAAAGAACCCATCACCTCCTCACGAACCACCTCCCAACACTCCAAATTGAACCGCATGGAAAAACCATCTGGACCTGGGGCTTTGTCCCCGTTGTAGCTCTTCGACGCAGACAAAACTTCCTCTTCAGAAAAAAGATCCTCCAGAACAGAGCACTCCTCGCTCGAAATAGAGTCAAAATGAAGCCTTGCAAGCAAAGGTCTCCAACCAACAGATTCTGTAAACAACATCAAGTAAAAATCGACAATACCCTTGCAAATCTCCTCCTCCTTAGAAAACGTCACCCCATCCACCCGGATCCTCCCAATGTGATTGCCCCTTCTATGAGCATTGGCAAGTCGATGAAAAAACTTAGTGTTATTGTCGCCTTCCTTAAGCCACAAGGCTCGAGACTTTTGCATCCACGAAATCTCCTCCATGACAGCAATTTCAGCAAACTCCGCCTGACACTTCACCCTCCTAAGTTTCAGGGACTCCGCCAAACTGCCCTAGCCCTCTATCCGATCAATCTCAGCAATCTCAGGAAAAACACGATTTTTCCTCCACACCAAAATACCGAAATCCTCTTTGTTCCAGACTTTTAAATCATTCTTCAAAAAACAAAACTTACACGTAAAAGAATGACTTGGGGTGCCAACCACACCATACCCCACCCACTAGGATCGAACACACTCTAGAAAGCCTTCAGCTCGAAGCCACATATTCTCAAATCTGAAAGGGGATCTTCTGCTACACAAACCACCGCAATCCAAAACCAAAGGGAAATGATCAGAAATAAGACTAGCCAACGTGACCTGAACAACATCGGAAAACTTCTCCTCCCAATCACTTAACACAAGGAATCTGTCAAGACGAGAGAAGGTAGGAGGAGAACGCCCACTAGACCAAGTAAAGGGACCACTCACAAAAGGCAAATCAAACAACCCCGCCCCATCAATGAATTCCGAAAAAGACTCCATGACAACCATCCATCTACCCCCCGCAGACCTCTCAAAAGAAGAGCAAACAACATTGAAGTCCCCTCCAATACACCAAGGCAACGACCATCTCCTTTGAACATCTCCCAACTCCTCCCATAAAAGATGACACACACTATCCTTTGTAGGACCATAAACCCCAGAGAAAACCCAACGAAAGCCATCTTCCAATAAAGATAGGACGCATGAGGCAGAGAAAAGCCCCACCTGAGAGTACCCCAAAGAGACCCACCGATTGTCCCACATAATCAGAATACCACCCGAAGAACCAACTGCATCCAAAGCAAGCCACTCCACAAATACCACCCCCCAAAGCTACGCACCATCAAGTCCGTCATCGAAGCAATTTTGATTTCTTGAAGGCAAACCACATGACCTCCCTCTTTACGAATCACTGACTTCACAACTCTTCTCCTAGCCGAGTCATTAAGACCCCGGACATTCCATGAAAGAATTCGTAGCTTCATAAGGAAACAGATGCAGAAGAAATCCCACTCCTCCTTCCACTCTCCCTCTCCTTGGACCCCCTATTCCTCCTCTTATAAGTAACAAAATCAAAAGGGCTCCGCAACTCCCTCTCCCCCCTCCCAATCAGAGCACCGACCCTTCCTCCCGCCCTATCCAAAAGCTGAAAATCAAGAACATTATAGAACAACCTTATCGCCTCATCTAACCTACCTTCAAAAGAAACACCTAAAAGAGAACCCACCTCCCCACCCTTCTCTCTCAACCATTCCTTCTCCATACAATCCGTACCCTCACCTGCACTAGAAAACCTCCCACTCTCACCTTCCGGTCAAATAACAGCCACTAGAACAACCATATCAACCTCAGCCTCATTCCCCTCCCACTGGACCAGCCTCAGTTCCTCAACAAAGGAAGAGACTGCATCTCCCTCCCAAGCATCAGAGAAATGAGGAGAACAACAAGTCAACGGAGTCACAACCTCCTCATTAGGCCCAGACATTCTAAAATCACACTGCAAACCCTTCGAGGCCAAATGGTCCCGCAACTCCTTCAACAAAACAGAAGTTGTAGCCTCATCAAGCTTGATCCTCACATCTTTCCCCACACAAAAGAAACTCCTTCGCAACAACTATCACATTATCTAAAGGAACCCAGCACATTAGAACACTCTCCACCATGCCGCTCCACACAAGCAGGAGCAAGACCCTCCTCAAGAGCCGAAGACAGAAAATTAGAAACAGAGGACACCACACCCTTCATAACCCCCACACTCCCTTGATTCACCTCACAGGGGTGAGAAGAAAAAGAAGTAGAAGGTTGAAAAGCAGATTGTCCATGAGAAGAGATGGACTTACTCCAATCAAAAGTATTCTGCAGACACAACACCCATTTTTGCTTCTCCTTTCTTGACCATCTTCTACGGAATTGGGGAAGAGAAATTTTCTTCTTCAAACGGTGCCCATGAACCGGCCCCTTTGGAAGACGACCATCACAAGAAGCCGGCAAAGGACCGGACTGCTTTTCACCCTTGTCGATCACCACAGGAACAACCGTCGAACCCAATCCATTTTGAATCCCACGACACAAATCCAAAGACCCATTAGCAGCAACCGAATAGACCGTCACATCTTCAACTGGTCTACAAGAAGATGGGAGAGAACTGTCCACACCCATTTGCACTGGCCCAGAATCAAAAGAACCAAAAGAAGGCCCAACCAATTGTCCACGAGAAGAAACACCAGAACCCTTACTCACCTGCCCACCATTAGGCCCAGAGTCAGAATGCACCCCAGCCTTTGAAGCCCAAAAATTTGAAACCGGGTTGGTTCCAGTTGTAAACCACTTGGAACGGCGCCTCCTGAGCGCTAACCACGTGTCTGGTTGACAGCTCTCCCCCACCCATGGGCTTGATTCGCGTGAAACACACCACGATTGCGTCCTTGATCCCACCTCTGTAAAACCAGCTGACGGCCAAGCCCAGTGGAAACTCCCCCTCTTTAAGAACCCCGACCACCAGCATGACGGCGACGGTCAACCAAAGCCGGCGAACGTTCCTTTCGATTCAGAGAAGACATCCGACGAAAGCACTCCGTATTGCGAATCCAAAGCGCATCCCTCCATTCCTTCCATCTCTGAAACTCAGCTAGGCCCTTCCTCCCCATCGATTCCCACCTCAAACAATCAGATTCCTTAAGCAAGTGTGAACCATCCTCTCCTTCCAAACTATTCGTCGTCGGGACAAGATCGGGAGGCTTCTGCTCCCACAACACCACTTTAAAGCAAAGCCTATAATCGTGAATGAAAACAAAAGGAGGGCAAGCCTTACCGTCCGACACTGTGATACGGATCCTTTCAGTGTCAACAGCTTTATCCGCATCCACCCAAATAAACCCTCCGCATAAATCACCGACTGTAACAAACAAGGCATGACTCCATAAGTGAAGAGGAAGACTATACAACGTCACCACCTTCAACCCCATACCCTTTATCACTCCAGAACACCCCACCCCGAAACTCCACTTGTAAACTCGTAAAATTGCCGTCCCCCATTCACGGCGACGCACACGAGAAACCTCTGTTGGAGAGGGAAATCGAAAGAGCAACAGAGAATCCGGCAGAGGTGAAACAACCACTTCGGAGGAAACCTTCCAAACACGAGAAGCCCAAGCCGCGATCTGAGCCCTATCACCCACTTCCTTATCAAATTTCCCAACCAAAGAATCGTCATCCAAAAAGATCAAAGAAACTCTGTAAGTAAATGCAGATCTCGCAGTTCCTCCCTGAAACAAACGAGGCAACCGAGCAACATCCAAGAACGAACGCATACCAAAAGGCGAAAAGAACAACAAACACAAACAAAACAGACCCAACAGAGAAAGAAAAACACAAAAAGGAATAGTAGCAGAGGATTTCACCGGAGTTTATGACTCCGGTGACTGGTCGGAGTAGTAGACTCCGGTCGTATCTCTACCATGACAAGCTTTCTCCAAGGACGACAGTCATTTTTCCTTAATAACTAGATTGGAATTTAAATATTCTAATTCTGACCATATGTGGTAAGGATAGCCAAGCACCGCAGATAGTATAATTAATATTTAGATAAGAGAAAAATAATAAAAATAATTTAATAAGAAATAAAAATTTAAATGAGAAAGGGTATAATAGTCTTTTGTAATGAGTTTGTCCTTGATTGCAACAAATCAATAGTTCCCGGGGGAAGTGGGGGGGGGGGGGGGGCAGTTTTTAGTTTAGGGTTGCAAAAGGGCAATAGTTCAAGGGGGTTTATTGCACTTTACCTTAAATATAATGTAATAACAGAAGGTGCGGAACATATTGCAAGTTTACATTTTAAACAAGGAAACTCATTTTTTCCCCGGTGAATACTAAAAGAAACGGACTAAAAAAAATACTGCTAACATGTTGTTTTGTGTGGAGAGATGGAGAGAGAGAGAGAGAGCGAAATGCGCACCTTAGGATCCCATGAGAAGTATCCATCCTTGATTGAGATGGCAGGGAGCCCTGGTTCGAGAGGTGGATTGGGTAAAAGAATTCTTTCTTCAGCTAATAATAGTTCCTCCAGCCGTTGCAATGACACATTTACATTTACAACCTGCAAACTAGAGCATAATAAATCTCAAAGAACCAAAAAAAAAAAATTCAAGTATTGTAGCAATTTGCAAAGAAATGTATTTATTTTTTGATCGAAAATAAGAAAATTATCACTAAATTTGTTCAACTAAATTAAGGCAAAGAATTACAAATGAAATATGGTGCACGTACATTAGAAAAGAGAAAAATAATATAATCTGGTGAATTTGCAAAATAAATAGTTTCACTAAGAACTTTCAACCAGGAAGGTGGAAAATGACAAAAGAAACATGCATCATCAAACATTAGTTTTCTATTACACAAACTTCATTGTCTCTCTTTTCTTCTTCTTTTAATTCTTATTTTGTTTAGCATGTTGCAAAGATAGAATAGGCCATGACTTGTATAGGAAAAAATCCACAAAATGCTCAAGTATGATATCTCCCAAAGTAAATAAAAATGCGCATTTTACCAATTCCTAGGAATATGGAATAGCTAGGGACAAAAGAGGGGGACTTCCTTTTTTAGTATGCTATTTCCACCTTTTTATATACTGCTGCAGTTTAAGTTATATTAAAGCCTAAAAAATCCAAGGATATTGATCTCTCTTTTATCACCTGGAGACCATTTGAGGAACCAAATTCTAAGAAAATATACCTAAGGACCTCAACCATTACAACTACAAACTACAAAGATTGCCCTACATTATATTACATAGACTCGGACTGTGCGGGCATGTATCCAATCATTGGACATCTCGAATCCCCAAATTGAAGGGTACAAAGACACTGCTAAATATTCATATTATTTAAGTTTTATTTTATTTTCTAGAATAAAATAATGTCTTTATTTAACACAATGTTCAATATAAGCATTTCATTCATTTTAAAGCAATAAAATAATGATATTGAATAATTGATATACTTTTTAGGTGCATGTCCAGTCAAAAGTGTCGGACACATAACCCATATCCATGTCCAAATATTGTGACTAGTATGAGTATTTCAACTTCTTTTTTTTTTTTTTTTTTTTTTGATAAGTAAAATTGTATAAAAGCGATCAAAAGGGGAGCGGAACCCAAGAGAAATACACAAGACCACAAAGGGCCTTTAAGCCTTCAGAGAGGAAAAAATCTACAATCTCCTCTAAAGATCTATGATCTTTTCCTGAAACCTAACAAAAAAGAGTAGAAAGAATAGAGAATTTAAGCATAGAAATCGACATCTCCTTCCCATCAAAATATCTCCTATTCCTCTCAAGCCAAATACACCACCATACACAGAGAGGCGTAGCCCTCCAAGCATCCTGAATGTGGGCCCCCACAGGGCAACCTCTCCACGCCTCAATTAACCCTCTAACGGATCCAGGCATAACCCAGAGAAGCCCAAACAAACCAATCATCAAATCCCAACATTCTCTAGCCATGGTGCAATGAATGAGAAGGTGATTCACTGTTTCCTCATCACGAAGACACATATAGCAACGATTGACCACCACTTGGTTTCTCCTTCTCAAGTTATCCTCGATTAAGATCCTTCCCAGAACAGAGGTCCACGCAAAGAAAGCCACCTTAAGAGGAGCCTTTGAGCGCCAAACAGATTTCCAAGGAAAGCGAGCTCTAGGATCATCCGAGAGACACCTGAAAAAAGTCCTCACCTCAAAACGCCCTTGAGAGTTAGCAGCCCAAGTCCAACTGTCAGAATCCTCAACCACAATCCTCTGGCAATACAACAACTCCAAGAAACGAATGAACTCCTCAATATCCCAGTCCTGAAACAATCGCCTGAATCGAACATCCCAAACCAGTCTCCCACTATCAAGATGATAAGATTTAACCACCATGGCCTGCCTATCCGAAGCAATCCTGAAAAGCTGAGGAAAAGCGAGAGAGAAAGGAACATCCCCACACTAAACATCCTCCTAAAAACTAATCTTCCTCCCATCCCTGAGTCGAAACCGAACATGTTTGGAAAAGTCATCCCACCCCTTCCGAATAAAATTCCAAACCCCCACCCCCGAGGACCCCGCACTTCCAGAGAACTCCACCCTCTTCTCATCTCCCTAAATCGACTCACCACGACCCTCCTCCAAAGCCAGTGTCTCTCCACACCAAACCTCCACAACCATTTCCCAAGGAGGGCCTTATTAAAAGGCACCAGTCTTCGAAGACCCAAACCTCCATTCAACGAACTAGATGAAACTTGAACTCTTCTCCTCTACCCCCCCACAGAAAATTTCGCTGCAATCTCTCAATCCTTTTAGCAACTGAAGAGGAAATCTTAAAAAGAGAGATAAAATAAGTGGGAAGGCATGAAAAAGTGCTCTTAATCAGAGTGACCCGGCCTCCCTTGGAGAGATACTGCTTCCTCCAACCCGCCAACCTCTTCTCAAACCTATCCACCACTGGGTCCCAAACCTCCATACACCTCGAAGGAGCTCCCAGAGGCAAACCTAAGTAAGAGATGGGAAACGAGCCAGTACGACAACCAAGAATGTCAGCAAAAGTCTCAATCTCAAGGACCTCCCCCACCGGCACCAAAACACTCTTTCTAACATTCACCTTAAGGCCGGAGACAACTTGGAACTAAATCAGAACGCATCTCAGCTTTCTAAACTGGGACACATTTGCATCACAAAGAACTAAAGTGTCATCTGCAAACATCAAATGTGAGATCTCTAACTGGGAATCAGCATCCCTGCCTACCCGAAAGCCTCTCAAAAAACCCAACTCAACAACCCTTCTCATCAATCTACTAAGGGCCTCCATCACAAACAGAAACAAAAAGGGGGAGAGTGGATCCCCCTATCTCAAGTCCCTCGAGCTAGTGAAAAAACCGGTATGAGGTCCATTCACAAGAATCGAAAGGCGAGAACTGGATATACAAAAGTGAATCCATCTCCTCCACCTATCACCAAACCCCATCCTCTCCATCAGGTAAAGAAGGAAGCTCCAACTCACATGGTTATACGCCTTCTCAATGTCTAACTTACATAAAACTCCCGGGACCCCACTACGAAACCTGGAATCCACACACTCACTGGCAAAAAGGACTGAATCCAAAATTTGACGGCCTCCCATAAAAGCATTCTGAGAGTCCGAAATGATGCCATCCAAAACTTTCCTCAACCTTGAAGCAAGGACCTTGGCAATCAAGTTGTAGATACACCCCACCAAACTAATAGGGCGAAAATCCCTATCATCCAATGCCCCCCCTTTTTTGGAATGAGAGCAATGAATGTGGCATTCAAGCTCTTCTTTTGAAGAGTCCATGTAACATAACCCCTACATAACCAATGACACTGATGCCTGAAGGAGATATATACTTACTACCCTAATAATGTGTAAAATGTTGGTGGATGCATAGAAGGCTAAATATTAAGAGGAGGGGGGGGTGGGGGACATAGTGGATGCTTTATTTATTTATTTATTTTTCAGACACCTGTTGAGATGATATTCAACTTCTCCTCTAAGACAGTATATGGTTCTCCAAGTTCAATGAAAATGCCCAGAATTTTCCTTGAAATTCAATATGACCTTTTAATTTGTTCACACTCCAAAAATGTGAGAGAGATCTATTATTCTTGGGAAGTAATTAGAATTTCCTAATTGGATTTATAATTAGTTCAAAGAACAAAAATGGACATTCAAATTATAATCGACTCAACAAAACATTTTCCCAATTGCTTGGTGAAATCTATTTTTTTTTCATTCTGCTCTATTTAAGGTTATAGCTTATGTCAAACCACGTATTATTTTTACCTTTTTTTAGTAACCCTAACCATGCTAATTTTTGTTTTTTCCTTCCCCTAAAATACCTTTAATGTGGAACAGGCCACTCTTTCAAATTATGAAGGCCTATTTTTGCTTCACATGTCATTACAAATCCTTTTTTTTTTTTTTTTTTTTTTTTCCAAGTTGGTACTCACACACACTTGTCTCTTCTGAAACTTGAACCCCTGACTTCCTTTCGGGAAGTAAGAGGCTGATACCGCTAGGCCACTGGCCCGTTGGTTCATTACAAATCCTATTATTTGCTTCAACTTAATATTCCTTCTAAAATGATTCAAGATATCCGCCACACTCAATCTTAAAGTTATTTCCCCCTCACATAATTCACCGTACATCAAAATTCCCTATTAACTTAACCCTATATCAGTTTCCAAGTTCACGCAACCATCTCCCCAGCCGGATTACATTAAAGGAAAATAAGGACGTCTACCTTTGGGATTGAGCATTCCAGCATATAGTTGATCAAGAGTTTCTTCTGATTATGATTTGAACTTGCTGGAAGAAAATCCCCCAGTAGTTTTTCAAGCATTCTAGCGATGAATTGTGGAAATGCAAAAGGAAAGACATAACTGAGCCACTAGCTTTGGAAATTTATTTCTATCAAGGAGATTATACTGCCTTCACAATATATAATCCCTTTCAAGATGGCAATATCTTCTCAAGCCACATCTACACACAAACGACAGAAACTTGATTTTGAGTTTTCTGACATCTTTTTAGGCATGTTCCTTTCCTCTATGGTTAGCCACACATATATATATATTATAAGTGTTAGGTTATAGCATTGGGCATCGGTAATGCATCACACCGAAAAAATAGAGAGAAAACAAAAAAAAAAAAAAAAAAAAAAAAAGGAAGCGTGAAAAAAGAAAAGAAAAAGAAAGTAGGTGACTAACTAATTGCTAAGCATTAGCATCTTTTCTACTTTGTAAACTTTAAAAAATATTTTGGTATTTAATATTAAGCCCGTCGAGTATCTTTCTTCAAAAACGTCAGATGGGTCAGTTTCTACAAAACCTGAAAACTTATAAATATACTAAATAGATCTGTTTCTTTGTCAATGGGTAAGCAGAACCCACTGGAGCATATACTATTTTAAGCTTTTAGAGTAATCGGACGTTAGTACTGAAGCTGGAAGGTTCTATGTTAAATACAACCAACTCTCCATAATATATAATGTTCACATGGATAACCCATTCATTAGAGGCCACGTGTTAGAGGAAGTGTTGAAATATATTGTTGCACCCCACTCTAGCTCGTAACGACTTGAACTTTTAGAGTTGTTGGATCTTGATGGTATAACTTGATTCAAGTATACAAAAGGAGAAAAGCGGAATACTATTTTGCTAATCGCATTAACATATTCGCCTTTAAATTCCAAAATTAACAATTTAATATTCTATGTTTTAAAGGATCAGTTTCCAAATTTCAAAGGGGTATGCATTAAATGCATGTCCACTTAAAAAGTTCGAATACCTACAAGGGACATTTATTTTGGAATGGAGAGAGTAGTAACCTATAGCATACCAATTCTAGATTCAAAATAAAAATCATTCATGCAAGTGAAGACACTATAGCCAAGGTGACGAAGACAGAACCTGAGTAATTAAATTCGGTAACATGTTTAAAGGAAACCGTAGCACTGCGAACACAGAAAGTGATGTAAAAGCTTTTGAAGGTGTCAGTTCCCCACCAAGCAAAGTGAACATCCCAAATGATATCACCGCCACGAGAACTGGGATGCTATTTAGTATAAAACTGTTACACTGTAAAGCAAGACAACAAAACAAGAAACAATAAAGCAAAAATAGTTTAGTCCATTATCAGCATACATGTTTCACTTTCAACATTAATCACATCATAGAGTTGTAAATAACTCATGGTCAACAAATAGCATATAGCAAGCCAACTCATTGACAGATGATGAAAATGATAGACACAATCTTGTATTACATTCACTCAATTCAAATTGACTCATTAAAATTAGTTACATGTTACAAAAGGATTCCCCATCTCATTTGAGCAAGGACCACTTTAATGTCACTGCAAACCATGCGTATCAGGAAACCCCAGAGAGACTCGAAATAATTGCTTAGAAAAAAGAAGTATTGGGTCATGATTTTTATTTCTTTACATCTATAGTGGAAAAAGTCAATGTTACTTGGTCAACCAGTTAGAACAACAATGTGCACAACAGACAAACCAGATTATGTAGCATGTGTATTGTTAAAGCTTTTAGAGTAGATGGTTGTTAACATGGTAATAGAGCAGGCAGGTCCTGTGTTCAAAGTTCAAACCTCACAGTCACCCTAATAATTAAAATTGAAACACATGTTGGACCAAAAGAAGGCCACACTTGAGGGCCGTGTCAAAGGATTTAAATATTAAAGTTACACCCTCTCTAATAGCTGAAGCTTTTATAGTAGATGGTTGTTAACACATAGCACGTATTTTGCTTAAAGTTAAATCAGTTTTAGCAATATAAGATAGCATGGAACTGGATATGCAAGCGGGTTTTGTGCCAGTATAGCTGCATATGCAATCTGGAGATGCTTCATAGCACAAAAGCTTCAGAAATAACAATAGGCATACCAAAGAATTTATATGTTCATGTCAAAAATCATTTTCACTCAAACACACCATGGTTAAAAAATGAAATAAAAAAATAAAAAAAAAATTTGACCACTGCCACTTCAGAAGAGGTGACCCTAACTGTTCATTTAAAGTGAATAAAGGTTGAGACCTCATTATATTTCTAAAACAGAATTCATAACAGAAAACATGGTGGCATATCTGACAAATGTATTTGTTGAAGGATATAAATATTAAAGTTGCACCCTCTCCAACAGCTTAAGCTTTTGGAGTAGATGGTAGTTAACATGGTATCAGAGCCAAAGATCTTGAGTTCAAACCTCATCATCACCCTAATTGAAAATTGAAAAACACGTGCAGGACCAAAAACGAAGGCCACGCGTGAGAGGGCGTGCTTAAGCTTTTGGAGTAGATAGTAGTTAACAGTATTGTTCTAGTATGTGGCAGAAAATACAACAATAGAGCAATTATACTATCATATTTTATATTTTTCACAAATACCTCACATTTTCCTTTCTGGTTTTTGTGAAATCAATAGGTCTAAGAAAATGTTTTTCAGAATTATGATGTGTGTCATACCGCTGCCAGTAACTGTGCTTTTCGAAACCATGACAGTTCATCACTTCGCATGCTTTGAACTTTAGATTGAAAACTCTTCTCCCAAGCATAACATCTGACATTTATTTAGCACAAAGTCAAAACTACCACCATCAGCTGCCCTAAAATGTATCAGATCTCAACAACAGAACTTGTAAGATTGAACAAATACTTCACAGTGTCCATGGCAGCTAAAATTTCATTCACTAGACCAACTCTTTTATCAGTATGTTGTAATCCTTCCTTGGACAGTTTCCGCATTTTGCTTATGATAAATGTCTGCCACCCCAAGATAATATGAAACAAAAGATATGAAATCACTAATAAGATCAAAGGGCAAAGAAAAATATCACTGAATGCAATTATTATTATTATTTTTTGGGTAAGGTAACTGCATGCATTATATTACTAATGCAAGACCAAACATTAAAAAAAAAAAAAACCAGGAAAACCTTCATTTACCTGTAAGGGGAACATAAGAAATAGCATTAGGGAACCAAGAAGAGAAGCAATGCCTAATTGCTGGTAAAGGAGAGCCATTCCAATGATGATACGAAACGGAGCCGACCATAAATTATGAAGTTGTTGGCATATTTGCTGAAAAAAGTAGGGACAAATTTAGTTTATAATTAAAATTCAAGCAATTATGAAAAACTAGGGTATGGAGATTGGGTTGGTATTGATATCAGTTTCAAACAAAATATAGATATGTGGAAAAGAATCACTTGCCCCTGATTATCACTAATCTCTATAATTGAAGAATTATATCAGCTCATCTTCATTATACTTAGGTTTTCGTGGTGTAGCAATGTTTTGGGGAAAAAAGGTTTTCGTGGTGTAGCATTGTTTTGGGGAAAAAATATTTAGAATATTGACACAAGTTTTGATTAGATTCTCTTGCCAATTGAACTTGAATCCAAATGGAGACTGGCTAGATAAATTGATTGTTGAAACATATATGATGCCTGGATATCAAAAATATCACTGTAAGGCAACAATTTTTAAAATTTTCTAATTTGATGCTAAGGTAAGTGAATATGCGCACACACCCAAAAAAAAAAAAAAAAAAGGTGAATGTTATATCAGAGTCAGGATAGTGCTTTGGGTGTTCTAATTAACAATTTTAGTTCGGGATGCTGTGTAATTTGTGTCATTTTGTATATTGGAGCCATATCTTGGCAAACAAACCCATTCCTGGGCGTTTTTGGTATTTTGGCTCTTTTAGCATTGAATCTTATCTTTTGGGGTGGCGTTAGGGCATTAACGTGTCCTTTGCCAGTTCCCATACAAGACTTTCTATAAACTTTTCATGAAGCTTCTAAATCATAAAAGGGAGCAGCACTTTGTCTGGGAACACATTTTTAGAAGAGAATTTCATATTTCATACATGAATTTCCTAAACCATGTCGTCACTCGAGAATCTTGTTCTCTTATTCTGTTCGAACAGATACTGAAGTTTAATGGACAGTTTTGACAAAGTAAATCTTGCTTATTTATACTCTTCAACAATAATCAGATGAAATTGATGACATCATAAAATTTTGCAGCAAATAAAAGAGTTGAAATCATCCACTGACTTTCCCATCTTTCCAAAATTTCCTCATTATACTGTACTTCTATTGATCTCAAGATGTTTATAATGTAAATGCATACTAAATTTGGCATTGATTAACATCATGTTTACACATGTATGCATTGCAATAAAAAAGCATGCCTGAAGCGCATTAGCATCTGTCGAAATCATATTTGTTATCTTTCCAGATGGAAACTTCTTGCGACCCTTGTGGGTTAGTCTTAAAGATTTACGAAATATAGCAGCCACCTACACATAAAAGTAAATAGATTAACTTGGTTAATGATTTATAAGTAGCCAACACATTTAGGATACGAGAGAGGAATATAATTTTAACTATAGCAATGTCGCCACCGTCAAAACTAATTAAATTTTATATCAAAATAAAAAAGGAAAATAAGCATTGCAGTTCACAGCTGTACGTAACAAATGATATGGAAGAGTCTGAATCTCTCATAACCAAAGTTTTGAGAAAGGCTGATTTGATGTTGAAGTATAACAAGAAAGGCATGATCAATATCAATTAAACCAAGCCGAGCCGTTAGGAGAGTAAGCCCTTCCCACATTTCAACTTGAATAAATGAATGCAGCCTCAACCAGAGAGATAACCCGCACCTTTGATTTTTGGCCGCCATAACAAGATGGCCATGATCAATATCAATTCTGAATATTGAAAGGAAAAGTATGAAAGCACGTTATGTATTTATTTTACTTTGAAAAGAAGTGTTTAATCAATTTCACAAGAACATTAAAAGAGCATTAGAAAGTTATATCCCATCTACATACAATGGCAGGAGGGAAAGACTAGAGAGAGACCTAACCCTTTGGGAATTTCACAAGAACACCACTCAAATGAATAAACAGCTCTTATTCCTCAATCAGAAAAGAATATATTGCTGTTCTTTTATTCTTCTGTTCTATTCTTCTTCTTTTTTTCTTTCCTTTCTTCCACTATGGATAGTTTCAGAGTATATATTGAGCCGCCATTTTCATTCAAAATTAAAAGTTTTAACCCCAGGTGTAACACATTCTTAACAAATCTGGTCTAGTTATTTCAGAACCTGAAGAAAAACTGTCATATGGGCCTAGCAATGCAGATTATAGGGACATCGAAGAAACTGCTGCAATGAACCAGGTTCATCCAAGTTCACCACCCCTAACTGGTTATGTTAGGAAAAAGTGCATTCATGTGAATTTTATTTAGAACCTAACTTGGACAACTCCAAAAGAAGAGGAAAAATTTAGTGTGCGATGTCAATGCAACAGAAGTGATATATCAGGTAACTCCAAAATGCAACCAAAACTGACGTGTATGATATACAGGAACAATCACCAAACATATCTATAACCAATTATTGAAGAAAAATTGGTTTACCAAAGTTGATCGAAGCCTGAAACCAACACGCGTAACGTTCTGAAAGTACTGAGCTTCACACAGCACTCCAAATGACTGGACCAAGTAAAATCATCTAGTCAATTTAATGGTTAAAAACAACAAATACAGCTTGCATTATCAGTCATAATCTGAATATAAATACACTAGAAGAGAATGCTTAAAAAAAACAACAGCATATTCAATGCCTAAAGTACCAAGGGCATTTTTTATTACTTTTTCTTCTCTCTCTCTCCCCCCTCTCTCTCTTTCTGGTAATAAGCAATAGCCGTAGCACTTTGTGCTGGAAGAGGCAATGCCTGGTACAATGGTTAAATAAATTAAAATTAATAGAAATTAGGATATAATACTAATTTAAATAAGATTAATAAAGATTGAAGGCTATAGCATTCTTGTAGACAAAAAAATGTATAAGTTAATGGAGCTACCCTTTCGCATTTCATGGCATGTGTGCTGCTTCATGAATATGTCCAACTCACTTTAAGGGCGTATCTCCCAGAAATCAATACAGCTTTTGGCAACTTAACTAGTACGAGTAAACTATTGCCCTAGATTTATGGAATAAAGGCAAGGATGATGATGATAATGATCATAGGATAGTTGAATCAGCATAAGGACTCTGCATGACCAGAGGTCTTATTGTTCAACTCCTAGGACCATCAATACTCGTTGTTCTGGGGGTGATTGTGGGTATCCAAGGGATACATCTTACCCCCAAAGGAGGTGGGGACACCCTTTGTTACCCCCCAAACCACACCCCCCACCACCCCCCACCCCCCCCCCCCCCCCCCCCCCTCCCTTCTCAATTTTTATATATGATGATGATGATGATGATTTCAGAACCATTGTGAATGCTTAAAGACATGTTTCCTAAAATGATAATGATAATTACCATGGTAATATCCTCACCTGGAAAATGTCATGTTCTTCCAAGATAAAACCCAAACCTATAACAGAGCGGGGTAGGTGACAACACAAAAGGCAAGGGGAGGGGCTCCACGAAAGGGTGCAACATTAAAGATTTATTTAGTTGAGGCCACATGTGATAGAGCAAGATATAAACCTTTGAAAAGGTGAGAAAGTCGGAACCTAGTTATAGAGAGCTTCAGAATCACACTTATATTCAACTAAAGATGTGGGACTTACTTTTTAAGCTGGATTTATTTCCACAAGCTTAACTGATGTCATTATGGCAAGCGTCACTGACACATCAGAAAAGCTATAGGTTGACATTTAATAAACTTTACAAGTTTAAATTAGCAATGGACGGAAGTTCACTTATCTATTTGTGGATCATCTATTTGTGAAAAAGTTTCACTAATAGGATGGAAATTTTTGAGTCGCTTCTATCTCAGATACATGTAGCATACTGATGACTCTTGAACAATCCTGAAGACGTGCTAGCCTGCTAGGCATATCTTAAATATGTCCAGCTAAGCCTAAAGTTGCATATTTTGAGATCTCTTAAATTCTTTGGGTGCCAAAAAAAATCATTTCTTTTGGGGTTTCACGCGTAAATGGCTTCTCCAAAAAGCTTTGGGCTATAAAAGGATGGGTGGTCGTATCTAGAGCATACTTTTAAGGACAAGATGCAAAAAACTCTGCAAGCTATTAGATTTTGCCAACTATCACCCTGATTTGACAAAAACTACCCAATATTTCTTTTTTAAATTTCGAATTAGGCCATGACATCAAGTATCTATTACTTCCACTGACAAATAACTGATTTGTCCTTTTTTGGCTTATATAAAAATTAGTACAATTAAAACTCTAGATACCAATCCCCACCTCCTTTTCCCCTCCCCATGGATGGGAGGGATTTAGGGTCCACTTACATTATATATGATATGTATCTTGATAATGGTAACCCTCCCCAGAAAATAAAAATAAAAGATCAACTCCTACTTCCATACTCAAGTCGACAGAAATATTCTCATACACAAGCGCACATACAGATGTGCATATAAACATACACAGCAGACATCTATTATAAACAATTGCTGGTGATATTAAATGGAATGCACCCAAAATGAAAATGACAATTTTGTTTGGCTACTATTCAAATATTATTTCCATGTGATTTAGAACCTCAAATAAGGTTCAATGTTCCCTGATCATTCGGCACCCATAGAGAAATATGTTTCTTGTCTGTTGGTGATCACAGAGAACCTTATATCAACCAAAGGAGAAAAACAAAATAGAAAAGAAAAGAATACTGAGAGAAGGAAACTTATTGTATAACAAAAAGAAATAAAAGAAAATAATATGCTATGTAGTTTCTTTAACAGAAATAAACATTTAAAATATAAAGGACTGGAATCATACCACTCCAACAAAAATTGAGAAGGCATAAATGTAACCAATCCATACTGGATCACCTCTTTCCATGGACTGTAAGCAGTACAATGTGGCAAGAAAGACAGAAAAAAAATAATAGTTACTATATCACAAATTTTCTAATCCAAGGACATCAGCTGTGCAACTACGCTATCCAACAATTGAAGAGGGAAAAAAAATAAGAAGATATATTTGTTAACAAAAGAGTTCCTTGATGAGAGGTCTTGTAATATCTATAATCTGTACCTTTGATAAAACATCTACTAAAACAGTTAGATAACCAAGTTAATCAAGCATATCAAATGTTGCTGTCACTTTTAGTTGTTTTATTTGTTAATGAGGTGGTTTGAGCAATTTTTTTGGTGGCAAATAAATAACAGTTTTTTTTTTTTATACAGAGAGAGAGAAGCTAAATAACCGGTCCTAAAATAAAGCATTTTTTAGTTACTGCAAATTAAAACCAAAAAAAAAAAAGAAAATAATAATAATAATAAGCCCCTTTTGATTCTTCTATATTTTCTGAATTTTTATTCCATTTACACTTGATATGAGAGAACAAAACTAAGAAGAACGTCTTTTGTTGTTCTTGTTAGTAGTGTAAAAAACTATGCATTGATCTGTTGATATATGGCTATACACTGCCGACAAGGTTAGGCTGAAAATTTGCAGACTAAAAGTTATACATTTGATGCATAAATATAAGGCTATGGAATTTACTTATCAAAAAAAATGAGGCTATGGAAAAACATTTGCTAAAAAATTCTGACGAGAAGTTCTGTAAATTGGTACATTGACGTGTGGCAGCTAAATAGGTCCATCAAGAACAAGTGTCATGAGTCTTATCTGAATAATACATATTATAATTGCTTATGTCTAAATTTCTAAACTCAAGCTTTTTTTCCCTATACGTAACTGTTTATAATTGTGGACTTAGATGATAGAATAATAATAACAAAGTATGAATATTTCTGGTGTTTTTGCATAATGTTTATGAATGCCAAGTCAAGAAGAGAGATGTAACTATTTCCATTTAGCAGGAAAATGTCGGTTAGCTAAATGCAGATACAAGTCAGAGGCCCTTTACAGCATTGGATAAAAATGGAACAAAAATGGGATGCATCATCTAACAAACAAAGCAAGTGAAAGATAGGAATTAACCTGTAAGAGATGGTTTAACAAAACTGGCCCCACGAACTGGGAAAGATCGTTGAAAATCTAGAAGATAATCAAGAAGGCATTGGTAAATTCAATAGCAGTTATCAAGCATAAAAGTGATCACAATTTTAGCCATCACAACTTCAAAATCGTATTTTGTAACCAGGAATAATTTCCCATTGCATTCTAAAAATATCCTCAGAACCTATCAAATAATAATAAATAAACTATTGTACTATCTACACAATATGAAGCTGCATATCCTTGGAAAATTAGATTCTCCTTTCCAACAAGAATTCAAACGATTTGATATAAAGTATGGGGTGTTTTATTATATTTGTAAACTATGAAGATAACAAACAGCAAATTGCCTGAATTTAATTCCATGTTTGACAAAATTTTGAAGGGCATCTGCACTGAAGAAAAATAAATTGCAATCAAGCCATAATGGTTAACAAAAGAAATCAGTCCCTCTAATGCAATGCATGTGAGGCTAGTATCTCAGGAAATTCAAAGAGCAAATTGTAGTAAAAAGTTTTGAACATTAAAATACACATGAATAACCAGAAAAATGTAAATAATACACTTAGAACAAAAGATATTTACGTAAGATTAACTAAATAATGAATTCTTTGATGTTAGAAAGGATAGCACAGTGACAATTGATAATCAAACATTGAGAATAACATATAAATGCTACATGGATACAACATATGTTATCTATGATAGAAATGTCCACGAGTAGCATTCATAAAAGCATTAACAGAACAAAGAAATTGTTCACTTGGTATATATATGTGTGTGTGTGTGGATATCCATTTGCACTAAAACCTTTTGTACAAAGTAAGAACACCAACTAATTCATAATGCAGCGCTTCCACGCGTGGAAAAGTGACTCCAATTTATTTAAACAATAAAAAAGCATGTAATATGAAGGGCAAACGAAATTTTCACATGGAAATCAGCTAACACAGCTTGCATATCACAATAATGCCTGTTGTAAGGATCACAGTTTATTAAAACATAAACAACAAAACCCCAAAAGAGATCAAACAGTTCTGCATGTGGATCCTGTTTTTCTTTTTTTCTAAAGTGTTCTAAACAAACTAACATCCAAAGACGGAGTTAAGGACATGAGCTCATTACTTTGAAAATGCCTCCATACCAAAACCTGCAGAAAACATTTAGAAGAAAGGGGTGAGTTGTAACGCGCATATATAGTGGCATAACACATAATCATCATCAGAAAGTTTAATTATTTTGTTAAAATAGAAAAGACAAAGGAAATTATTGTGACCCTTTTTTTTTTTTCTTTTTTTTTTTTTTTTTTAATCAATCTATACCTTCCTCCAAGGCTACAATTTAAAGCACGTAAAATCCATGGTTTGGACCTTTGAGATTCTTCAGCCCAACATTTCTGGAACCTACACAAATCAAAACTAATTACATGATATACGGCCAAATTATCATTATTCAAAAATAAACATAGAGAAAATAAGGCGGACTTTGTATTCAATGTCTCAGTCTGATCCCACGTGTCTAACTTCCAGACATCCTTTTCAGTGATGGGTCTTTTAAAGCCTTGCTGCATGAGAGGAGTGATCCACCCAAAATAGATCCCTACCATAGGACAATCCACCAAATTATCAGCATGAAGCTCAGCACTTCAACAGTACTTTAACGGATTCATTTAAATTACCGAAAAGAAGGTAAAAATGGTGTTGGTATCATGGTAAAAAGCAGTGTATTCATGAGTGGAAACCAATCCTATACCATCTAGAACATCCATCTTCCCATTTGAAGAAAGGGCATGCTCGAATTCACTACCACCTCATCTACTGCTTTTCTCTATGTGATCAATAAAATTACAAGTGGACTAAATATGCGTAAAAGTAGGAACAAATTGATCACCCAAGGTACATGTTCTCGGTAAACAAACATGCAGAAGAGATTTTCTTTATCCTAGAACAACTCTCAAGTCGTTTAAAGATTCTGGTATTATTGAATACAATAACAACTTACTGGAAAACATATTGGCATGCCTCTCTGGACATATATTCTCTCCTCCAAGAAGTGATTCGTATTGAGTGTCGTCAAGCAAATCAGTCGTCACTGGGATGTACCCGGGATAAGGATTCAAATGAGGAAAGTAAACAAGAAGAAGTACTCCAAACAGAACCTACACCAGAAGATTCAGAAGAATAATTACATACTTGTGCCTGATGTCCTCTAAACGGACTAAAGTATAAAACCACTGGTTTAAAACCTTAGCCAACTCTTTAAGTTTGTATCATTATAATTCATCAAATGGCAGGGCATCAGCCTATTGAAGTTGGATCTTACAGTTTCTAACAGATATTGGACCATGTTGCTCATGGACCAATATCAGGAATATCATCTAAACCCATCTCTTATATCTTTTTAGCAGAGAACAGACAAATCAATTTCCGGACACTAACATCATGAAACCAAAATTCCATGTAATTATGATCATGTTTAGTCATGCTTGGGACTCGCATGTCAGTATTAACAAAGCAAGTAAAGCTATTAATTATGCCCAAATTACGAAGAGCTCTTGTACTTGTAAATTTTCCTTTGCAAATTTAACTATAGAACCAGTAGTTGTTCAATTTAATCCCGATTAAGCTGGTCTCAACCTCATGAATTCGTAGAACTGAGCCTGGCTTAGACCCATAGATTCATGCATCCGACACAGTGCGGCCAATATCTGGGCCATTCCGAAAAAAGTAAGTTTAAACCATGGAACATAGTCCACTGGAATTTATCAAAGAAAGAAAAACAAAAAACATAGTCCGCTGGAGAACATGTATAGCAACTAGCAAGTTATAATGAATCCCATGAGCCTAACCAGATTGAAAGAGATAATACAAACAACAAACCTGGCAGAAAAGCTTGCTGATGTACAAAAACAGTACAAATCTGCACAAGTAAATTCAACTATGAGTATGTCTTACCCATCACTATATATAAAAAAAGGCTCCACTCAAGTTACATGTATTTTTGTCAGTCAACATGTTCATCAGGGCAGCTCCCAAGCATATAATGAACAATTCAAAAGGAATAATCACTTCTTTATGTGGTTGATAGTCTTGAGACAAACTAAATGCAAAATCAGTTTTTTTTTTTTTTTAAATAAAAATAAGAAGAAAATTAAATGGTAAAGTGTGATATAGAGATCCAATTATGCTTCTTGCTATTGTCCTCAATTTAGCCCTACTCATTGTTCAACCCAAGCACAAGATCAATTTTAGAATAAAAAATCATCATCTTTCAAGAGAGACATGGTACACCAACACATACAAACATCAAAAAGTTGAAAGGGGTAAGAGTGCTGTATTTCAAGATAAGTACTTGACACAGTCAATATTAGAAAAACTGACCTAGTGGAGAAGTCCACTGAAAGAATAAGATTAAGAATCACACTGTTCCCCACCAGAACATATATTACTCCAAACCGGACATACCACCGGGACTCTCTGATGTAGGCTTTAGTTTCCGTACCAATCATAACCAACATGGAGCACCAAGAAAAAGACTCAACGATTAAAGAGAACATCTGCAAGCAAAAATTTTATTTACAAATAAAGTTACGTAACATTACCACATCATCTATACAGTAGTCAGACAACAATGTTTGGCTTTCAAAATTACCACTTGGATGTTACATCCAGGTTTTAGAAATCTGGTAACATTAGAACAATGAACTTACTGTTATCCTATAAGAAAATAACAACAATCAAAAAAAAAAAGGGAGGAGGCCTCAACGGCACAGCTCTCATTAAGAGAGAAAGAGAGAGGGAGAGAGAGAATTTTAAGCTTATGGCAACGAATCCAACAATTGAAATTTTTAAGTTATTGTTTGAACTTTAAGATCTTTTCTGTGGACAGTTCCCTTATTAAATTAGTGAAAACAATGATGATAAAAAGAGCTTAGTCATGATTCCCAGACATTATAGATCAATCTGTCCCTTTTCTTAATACTAGGAGATCGGAACTTAAAGCACGTCAGTGATGAAGGGAAAATGCCAATCACTACCAGCCTATTCCATGATAGGCAAAGAACGCATGAAAAAGAAATTCATGGAAAAGATCAGAAATCAGAAACCAAAGAAGGAATCAGTAAGATTCAAGGTAATCTTAGATGATTCTAAGAGTTGTAGGTCATAATGTGCATTTACTCCTCTTTCCAAGGATTTGAATTTGGCACCCTGTTCTGAAGTTGCTCTGATCACAACCATGAGGCATTCCATTTCTTTATTTGTAGTTATTAGACTACTTTACATCAGCAATTTTTCTTGCTTCTCAATTTTTACCTTGCTTAAACGGTAAAGTATTGTTATTTGGACGCCATTAGTGCCTGAAGGTTTCATATTTGCTGCATAGTTGTAATCACAATGACTGTTATTGTTACCTGCGATTGTGCATTAGCTGTTCATCAAAATTTATTGCGACTTTTATTACTATAATGCCTACAGGTTGTGCTACATGGACTCTTCTAAAAGTGTGAAAAACCCCATATCAAACACATATGACATCTGGGTATAGGTATGAGATGTGTGTCCAATATGTCTGGTTAGGCATGCACCTAAACAAGGAGTGAAATGCTTCATTATATTGCATTATTACTTCAAAACCATTGAAGTGCATGCTGAAAACTATATGTTATATCATTTAACCATAGAAAACAAACGAAAAATATTAAAAATATGAATATGTAGTTGTATCCCTATGTCCTTGGATTTCAAGATTTGTTAAATCTGACATTTAGACACATACAAGAGTGGTTAATTATGACACTTCAAAGATACGTACCCATTCATGTAAAATAACCTAGGGGCTAACTATTTGATAAATCATTTTTAACTATTAAGCCTATTTATTAGTGGTTCCACAATTGAAGATAAATCTTTAACAAATTCTACTAGCTTTCCTTGATTAATACACTTCATGGCTCTTCTATAACAGATGTTAAACTGAAGAGGAAAAACTATATTTAACGGTCCACAGCCATGAAGAATTTCCTCAGTGCTAAAGATCAATTGAATTTTAGGTTGGAGGATGTCAACTTCAACTAATTCTATTTCTGCACAAAAGTAGCACCAATGTTTACAGGGTTTCTCTCTCTTTTGCATAAAGATGAGAATATATAACATCATACTCTCTTAAATTACTGAATAAGCTACCACCAACAATCTTTGAATCAACAACTAGCACAAATTTCTATATTTTAGTAAATCTGACAAAAATAAATGAAAAACTAAAACCCTTTAAAACATTATAACAGGTCAAAATGTGTCATATGAGCAGCTCTGCTCACTTCTAAAAGTGTCATGATTTGCGCATCAAGAGAGATAGAAGTGAAACAGATAGACAATTTGATTATTCTCCAAAATCAAAATGCATGAAACAACCACAACCTAGTGGTACTTCCTCACCTTCAAAAGTGGAAGGTTGAGGGTTCAAATCTCCTTAGGATGGGTGTGTGAGTCCCAACTAGGAAAAAAGAAATGCATGAAACATTTTTGATGAAGTATGCATAAAAGTTTATACTACTACCACAGATAAGTTAAATGAATATAGTAGTAAAAAAAAAAAAAAAAAATAAATGGGTTGCCTACTCATTATGCAAGTGCATGGAAAATCAAAAGATGAGTGCAAAATTAACAAAGCAGATAAAAACTGCATAATAGAGAAAAATAATAGAAAGCGCACCTCAAAGGGAGGGAGACCAGTCTGTTGATTGAGATAAAAATTTGAAATACCCATCACTAATCTGAGCAATGGCTCCGCAGTACAATAACCAGCAAATAAGCCCAGCATATAATTATAGTAATTTGATCTCAAACAAAACCTTTTGACTTTTGAATCCTTCTTAATTAGCCAAATTCGATAAAAGCACAAGCCCATGAGAACTAAATGAGATATGCAAACCACAAGAGAGTCAATGGCACATGGTGTATAAGCACCAAAAGCACTATCTGTTGCTTTTGCCCATGCTGCATTTGCCATTGGTCGACAATACCAAACCAAAGGCTCAAAACCCATCTTTACTTTCCACCCAGTTCACCACCAAAACCAAATTATTCACTCAGTCTCTTGAAATTATTAGGTGAATGATAAACGCTCTGCCCGTCCAACCCTTCCCTCAAATTAACACTCCACTGCTGCTTAGTGTTTATATTCTCCCTCGCAACACTTCCTGCAACAACAACAAACCATATTCATCCTTATATTAATTCAGCGTGAAGAATAGATACATAACTATTTCATAAGATCTGAACATTGTCACAATCCGACCATCAGATATTGTCCGTTTTGTACAGTCTCCTTGCTCACAGTTTTCAAAAACGCATCTACACAGATAGGATTCTGGTTCATGAGAATCCTAAAGTTTGTTGGAAAACCGAGTAACGACGGAAGAGGGGAACGCTATTCATTTAACACACAGGTTTAATTTTCAACAAACAGATGAATACAACCAATAAATATTCTAAATAAATTTCATGTTGGTTTTTATTCCAAAAAAAAAAGCGCCAAATCCAACTGAACTAACACAATGGTGGTATTATGCCCATTTGGGCAATCAAAATTTAGGAAACCCATAATTTTCTCTGTAATATATTAACAAAAACAACGTGTACAAGAACAAGAATGGGAGTAATGGACTGATAGCAAGTACCTCCGAGACTGTCGAACTCACTACTAGTTTGTTTACCACAGTGACATGTATGAAAACCTGTCTCAAATGTCAAAGTACTAACATTTCGTCTTCAAATATATAGAGAAGTCAATAAAAGGATAGAAAAGTAGAACACTCGCGACACGAAGCGTCATGGCTTACGAAGAACGTGTATATATATGCAGAAAGAGTGAATTATTGGGGATGTATATACAACAGCTCTACCGACCTATATATTTGGCTGCTTCTTCATAAAGATCTGCACCTAATTGGTGGGGTGTTGACACCATGATAGCGACAGAAGCTTGTATTTAGTATTTAGTCCCTTTTCGACAGCTCGAATTATTGGGAGAGTTAGTACCCTTTACGAAAGAGTGAATTATTGGGAGAGTTTCAACTTTTCGGGCGAATATCACTGATACCCCTAAGTTTGGATTATAAAATAATTGATACTCTTTTGAGTTTGGACAAATCTCACCGGAAATTATGACCACTCACACGTTATAAATATTTGATCTGTTTTTTTCACTCGCACTAGAAAAATGGTATTAAAATGCTCTTGCAGGTAAAATGACATTACTATCCCTTTGAATCTATACTGATTTACCAAAAGAGTTGAAAAGACAAAAGTGCCATTAACAATTGATCTCTGGCAAAACACTCTCGAATGAAACTCATATAACATATACATTTTCCTTTTCTTTCTTTCTCTCACCGTTAATATAGTCTGTATACAACTTCTGAGACACACCACCACCAATACCACAAAACAGAATTTCTCTCACCATTAATGCAGTCTTGTTATTGCATTAGGATGTTGGTTGTAGTGTTGTAAATATAACAGGCTGATGATGGGCTAAAGCTTGATGTGAAGCCCGTTGTGGATTGTTCACTAGTAACTCAAGCTTTCGTAGTAGGCTTGTTTTTAATCAATGATTCATGAATGGTGGTGGAACACATATTTTATTGACTTTTGCTTTGAATATGAATCTCTGGAATTTTTTTATTCAACCGTACCAAAAGTGGTGGGTGACCCATATATAAACAGTAGTGGTCATCAAGTTGGTTTGATTTTTAAAAAATTTATGATATGAAATTATAGAAGAAAAGAAGTGTCTGTAAGTGCGTGTTTTGAATGTTACTCTCAATACATATGTATTTGTTTGTCATTTATATGAAGGAGAATGATGGTGATTTTAGTTTCTGGTGCGTGAAATTAAAAGGAAGGAGATGGTTTCTGGAAAATGTTTGGAGTATTTTGGTAACTTAAAATGGGCTATATGGGGTAATCAAGTAATTTTATACATCCAACAATACACAAAAGCATTACAAAATTGAGGGGTAAAATGGTCATTTGGCACATTTTTAATGGTGTCATTGGTGAAAAAGTGATTTGAAGTGTGAGTAATAGTAATTTTTAAAAAATGTTTTTGTATGAGATTTATTCAAACTTCAAAAAATTTCAATGAAATTAACCTTCACTTCATTGATATCACTGTGTTTCACTAACAAGTCAATGACCTGATATTAGACTCTTACTTTTTTAAAAAATGTCAGTAATTCGAACTTCAATAGAATTACGTGTAAATACTAACTAAAGGAAAAATAATAATAATAATAATAAAATAATACCACATGTATCATGAAATTAACTTTTAAGGTTAATAATTCCTGAGAATTGGACACCACATGTGTGCTTTTCTCTCTCTGTAATGAATGATATGCTTTTCTCTCTTTGTAACGAACGAATGAATTAACTTTTAAGGTTATTTCGTACGTTTTTTATGATGTTATTGATGAAAAAGTAATTTTGAAGTATAAGAGCATTTTGAGTGATATGTTAAAATATTTTTTTTTGTGTAAAATATATATTGTTATTTATAATGTGTAAAATTTTTTTATCTTCAACAGTCTATTAACCTATATTGTCACATCATAAATGTGTAAAAAGATTGTGTAAAATACACAACCTTTTTACATTGCCAAATCAATATATTTCTTTTTTCATCCCTCTTTCTCATTCTATTAAAAAATCAATCATATATTAAGTAAGTTTGTAAAAATTATGTAGACTCTGACATGACACATAATTGATTATTATTGAGAGATATATTTTTACACAAAATGTATAAAATAATCGTTGGAGCTAAAATTAAATAATTCAGAAATTTTGTGTAAATCTATCATAATACATTAGATTTATATAAAAAAAAATATATACGACCGTTGCAGATACTCTAAGTGATTGTAATTTTTAAAAGTTATTTTCGTGTAAAATTTGGAGATTTTAAAGGTTAAAATCTAGTAAAAAATTGTTCAACACGACACGTGTTTTTCTCTCTCTATCATGAATGATACGCTTTCAAAATCAGTATTTGGATAGATACTCTCACGGGAAAAAGATAGACCCACACAACTTGAGTGGATATGAATGAAATTAATTTCTAGTAGGAATTGTTGGACACCACATGTGCGCTTTTCTCTCTCTGTAATGAATGATATGCTTCCAATGTTGGTCTTTGGAACCTCTCACATGATTAACTGGAATTATAGTGAGGGAAAAAGAAAGACCCACACAACTTGTGGTCGATATTTCGAGGGAACAAATCTACTTTTTCAAATTTTAGTTATTATTTTTATTATTATTATTTTGTGTTATTTTTTGACAAAAATGGTCATTTGTCTGATACTCCGTACATCTGTCTTCTGTTGGTTCGATGTGGACATTTGACATTTCCATTGCTTCTTTGACAAAGATGGGGACCTATATTGATTGTTAGTGATATAGGCCGTAACTCGTGTTGCACCTTATGGGGAGGGTTTGTTGCTTCAGAAAAAAATTTGTTCTTCTTTTATTTTCTTTTTTTTATTATTATTAAACTAAATGTCCTAAATATTCCTTAAACTTGATTGGAAGGTTACTTTTCAAAAAAAATAAAAATAGCTTGGATTAATTTCAATAAAGCTCTTTAGAAGACTTATCGAATTTATAAATTAATTTTTGAGTTTAGTACCACCCGACAATATTTGACACGATACAAAATAAGAGGGTTTGAGTTTGGACTAATCATATTCATATCGCAATCGTGTCGACACGGATTGACCCGCTAACTAAACGTGTCGTATTCATATTTAACCCTATAAATACGATTAACCTGATTAACTAAATATGTCGTGTTTGTATAAAAAATAACTAATTTAACTAAACGTATAAAATAAACATCTCGTGTTCGTGTCAAAAATATCTTAAACGTGTCTTTTCGTGTTATGTCAAGTCTTGACCCATTTATCAAACAAGTTAAGCGTGTCGCATCTTATTACATGAGTAATAATCGTATTGTAATCGCGTTAAGGGTCTTAAACATGATTAATTTTCTTGTCGACACGAACATGACACGCCAACACGAATCATCAACCCTAAAAATTTCTCCTAATTACAAAAGCGATATAAACTTGTCAAACCATTTTTTTATCTTTATCAATCTTGATATCAAACTCAAATTTGGTCTAAAAAAAGGCTTGGATTTAGCTTTCCAGTAAGTTAATAACTAAACGAATCAAGCTTGGCCACAATGAAAAGTGTTTGACTCGAGCTCAAGCACATAAATCTATAGCAACTATGTATGAGATTCAATTCAAGTTTGCTTGATCAAGTTAACCACGAACAATCATCACTGGTCTCCATTAAAATAATATCAAAATATGATATTTGTTTCCAATCCTTCTCTCTCTCTCTCACACACACACAATCACGTTCAGATGTTTCCTCTCCATTCGACGAAGCTCTGGTTCACAAAACGTCTTTTCCGTTCACCGTCTCTCCACTCAACTTGATCTACTCGTATGCCAAAATTTACTGTGAATCGTCACATTTTTACTATATTATGTGTCTGAATAACACTTTGAAAGCTCACAAGAAAGTCTAATGATACCAATATCAAGTTACTATGCGAGGCAAAACAAGAGTCATGCAGAGCTGCTTTGAGTTAAGCAACTTGTAATTCAGAAAGCACTTCCCAAACTTATTACAGTACAAAATCCGACATTATTTACAAAATCGGCGAAGAACAGCCTATGTAAATCCATTAGAAGAGTAATTCAAGTAATTTGCATTACAATGTCTAAATTACTGTTCTCTCTACTCAATGTGATCCCAATCAATCGTTGTGCCTTCCAATCCATATTCTGATTGATGAAGCCTGTTTCGACCCAATCTGCTCATCATTGCAAGACCTGGAGAAAAAGTATAAATGGATTTGAATCAAGAAAAATTGTAAAAAAGAATCTCCGGTCATCATTTTCTTAATAAATTGCAAAACAAATATGAGAAAAAAAATCTTTTTGTACGAGTCACTAATTTTTGCCAATATTATTGGTAAACAAGCAGTTACTGGGAGCTATTTCCTATTTACCAGAAGTAGCATGACTGGCTAAAAAAAAAAAAGAATAATATTCTATAGAAAGAATAACTAAGAATAGGAATATTATTATTGAAAAGTCAGACATGTTCGGTTAGGGCCTTCTTTATTTATTTATTTTGCTTTTGTTAACCTATGTAAGAAAATGTATGTACAAATAAGTAATTACTATTTATTTTTTCAGGGGTGCACTAATTAGAAAAACTAATAACTACTGCTACAGAAGTCCAGAAAAGGCCCTCTTTGAATTCTTGGCCTCTTTTCTATAAGGAGCTAATGCAGCTCATCACAAGCACTCTTTTGACACGTTTTATGTAAGCAAGAAACTCTGCATCAAATAAATAGCAATGGCCAAAACTGCAGAATATAAAATTTGAGAAATAAAAAGATGAGAGAGAACTGAATGTCACCATCACATGCACACACGAATTAATGTACTGAAATGAAACGGGGGAGATATGCAATTTATACCTTCAACCATTCTGTAAAGGGCTGACCACCATCCATCTCCGGAGACCTGGTTCTGATCAAGAGCCTCTTCAATAACTTTGTCATGCTTCCCTTCCAAAACTCCTTGCAGAGTTATAATAGCATCCTTCGTTTTCTTGAGAATATTGTACTCATCTTCAATTTCCAACCGCACAAGGTCATTCTGTGATGAAGTGAGGCTAACAGCAAGGGCAAACTGCGCAGCAGCAGCCCAGCGGGAAGAGGCAAGCCATCTCCTCTGCCCATCTAGCCGTTTGGTCTCATCTCTCTCTGATTTGTTCTCCCCTTCCCCTCCAAATGCTAAGCTGCGCAAGTACTCAGCATTTGCAGCCCCTGTACTCTGAACCATCTTAGAGAAAGCACTCCCTTCATTTCGCAGTAGTTCCTCTGGTGTATCATATTCTAAAACCTGAAACAGAGCACAGTAACTTTAAGGACACACCAAATATATATATATATATATATATATATATATATATATATATATATATATATATATATATATATTCCCGTAAGTACAAAAATAAAATTTATACTAAACCAAAAATCAAACATCAATCATTAAGCTTGGAAGTTTTTCAGTGGAAAGTTTAAGACATTCAGACTTGTGGCATCCTTCTCTTTTGGGTGAAGGTTTCTTGTTTTCTCTTCCAATTGGATACACCTCTAAAGAACATAATTACACAAAAAACTACTCCATACCCGACCAGCATCAAGCAGAAGAATTCGGTCACAGTCAATGATGGTATTTAGTCGGTGAGCGATAATGAGCATTGTGCATGATTTGAATTCTTCCCGAATGGTCCGCTGAATAAGAGCATCGGTTCTAACATCAACAGCAGCAGTAGCTTCATCAAGAACAAGAATTTTTGATCTGCGAAGCAATGCTCGTGCAAGACTTAATAGCTGCCTCTGTCCAACACTGAAATTCTCCCCTGCCTCAGAGACCTTTACATTCCAGAAAGAAAAACACATTAGTTAATATTGAAATTTATTAAAAGAAGTTCAAAACAAAAGAAATGGATGGCATATCATTGGCCAACACTCCATTAAATTTGTGGAGATTAAATTGACATCATTACAACAAAACTGACCTTGAAATTCAGTTTAAAAGATTTGTATACAAGAATGTCATGTACATCCATCTAAATTTTATTTGAAAAGGAAAAAAAAAAAATTAAAATAAAATAAAAGAAAGGATGTTCCTTTCAAAACGAATGAGAAACTTCATTACGGAGTGAACAACCTTTTAAAAATTCTGTGTCATTGTTGATCCATGAATTGGTAGTATTGGTCTCTTAGTCAGACACATAAAAAATAATACAGCTTCACATATACCTAAATACATAATGTCAGGCATTACCAAAATTAAGATGCTCCTTGAAAATAGACTTTTGATAGAACTCTATTAGTTCATCCAGAAATGCATCTAAATCTGGGCTGTGCCTTCCTAGATGGAATAAAAGATTTAAGACCACAAATGTTTACAATGCCCAGTGTGAAGTAAGTATGAAATGTTATTTATTATAAATGACCAGCCCAAACAAAACCAGAACTAGGCAGAGGGGATTAACAAAGTTGTATATAGAACTTAGCAACACCAAAAGATGGGAAAACAGCAAAAATGGTTGCACATGATGCGATAGACATGAATCCAATAAGGTTCTTAACTACAATCATTAAGGTCTAATCAGCAAGACTTGCAAGGTTCTTAACTACAATCCTTACGACATCATTTAGGAATCTAGACATTATATATGAGAAGCTAATATAGATATTACTATCAATCATATGCTCATTCTATCTGGAAAACCAATATATACAGTAGTGAAATTGTTACATTTTATCAGAAAAACATAAAAAAGTCTCCTCACCAAAGTGTTGTATTTTATCTTTTAAAAATCCAAATGTCTTTTTATGCTTATTTGATCATTCTAGAAGTACGTAAACTCTAAAATTACTCTTCTTACATAAGATGCGGTACAGATTCAACTGCTAGAGTACGAAGTTTGATCCAAAAAAATTCTCTGTATATCATCTCTCTCTCTCTCTCTCTCTCTCTCTCTCTCTCTGCAGCTGATTGATTAAAAGACTTATCATGTCAATCATCTCTCTCTCTCTATGTCCTCACCAGCTGATTGATTAAAAGATTACTTACAATCACCACCCTGCACCCTCACTACTAAGAATATGGCTTACAAGCTCATTGCTCTAGGGGCAAACTATAGGCTACAAGTCAGTACTTGCATAAAGAAAATGTTAGCAATTCTCAACCATAACTTTCAATTAAAGAAATTATTTCTGACTTATTTGTATAATTCACAATAAGAAAACGAGATAATAAAATCTGAAAACCAGAAATTGCAAGATAAAGAAGACATGAAAATGTACCTCAGCATCCAGCCCCAAAAAATTTCTCCTGATCACTTCCTTCAAATGTGCCCTCTCTAAAGCCTCCCAGAGATCAGCATCATTGTGTTCGTTGAAAGGGTCAAGATTAAATCTCACAGATCCTAGACAAGAAAAAGAAGGAATCATTAATATAATGAGAACTTCATAATGGGAATGTTCTTCTTAAATCAAATCAACAAAGAACCAGAAACTTTCTTATCAGTCATTACATGTAGAAAGAAAAAAAAAAATGACTTCATGTTATAAAGAGAACTTATTATCCCTGGGTTGGATTTTTTGTAGCTGTATTTGTGGTTTATGTTCTCAGGAATAACCAAACACAAAGGCAAGCAACTATACTGCCATATTGTCCATTGAATGACACAAAAACAGACTGACCATTCTGTAATGAACTTCATTCCACTCCGAACCATTTTCAAATCATCAAATATATCAGCTCAGAAACCAGTCAGACTGGAATAGTCATTATCTTTTACACTAAATAACTAATCTTATACGAAATAACAAATGTTACTAATAACAAAAAGGGAAGCCAAGACTATACAGATGAAGAATGAGAAATCCTTGACAGAACAAAGCTACCAGCAGTTCTAATGTAAAGAGAGCTAAACCCCTACATATCCGTACAGACACAACCCAAATCCCTCCCATGCACAACAGTGTCATCTAAGAATGGAAATAATGAGTTTATGCTAAATTATTGAAGCTCTACTGCAATTTTTAGAGGAATTGTATTGGAGAGAAAAGCAAAGATGATTAATCTCTATATACATCCAATTAGAAGTGCTTATAGGAATTCTTCACCAATCTCTTACAACGATACTGAGAGAGGATTTTTTTAACCTCATTATTCATTCTTCCACAATCAACCAAAAACAAACCAAGGTTAAAATTTTGCATTATGATCCAAGTATGCGCCAGCAGATTAAATATTAGTCAGACCCAAAGTAGTTGATATTAAAGGCTTTTCATCTTTCATTTTAAGTAACAAAAAGTACATTTTGGTGCTTATCAGACCCAAATGTAAAGTCTTGTATGTCTGTAATATAATGGTTCAGAACATTTAAAACAAACTCCTTCAAATGGAGGTGCCCCCTCTCGGCTCTCACTAATTCCTTAAGTTGACGGAGTGAGAGCTTATTATATTTTTATCCTCACTCCCCCAAGTTGAAAGCATGATACAAGAAAACCCCTCCATACTCTTAAATGTTGACCTTACTATTTCACAAAAAGTCCGACAAAGCACTAAACTTGGATTACAACACGGCATTTTGGGTCGCCAATCACTATATCACAACTATTAATCCCATTGCGTATTGAGCATTCATCATTTAAATACAATTTTTAAGTGAGTTATACATTTAAACACACAACATAAATACAGTAACTTGTATGTGTGCATTTATAGACCCCGGAAGCTGGCAGCACTCTAGACATCAAGGTAGTTTCTAATTGTTTGCCACCTTCTATCACACCGTTAATATTACTATCAATTAGCTTACCTTGCTTAATAATAGGTAAATTAACAAGAAGCCAAGTTTATTTGGTGAGAGCCATCCCATTCCCCCATATTTGATTGACAGATATTGGTTGAGTAAATCAAATAATAAAAATCATGTAAAAATGGAAATCATTGAAAGAAACAACTGAAGGTTAAATTGAGTAAACGTAGTATCAAGTTATTCAAACCCACAACTTTAGATGGTGCGTACCTGAGAAAAGAACTGGTGCTTGTGGTATAATTCCAAGACACTTACGAAGATCTATCAATCCAAACTTTGCAATATCGCAACCATCAATCAAGATTCTTCCCCTTTCTAGTTCTACAATCCGAAATAAAGCATTAAGCATGCTAGATTTCCCTGCTCCTGTCCTTCCAACTATTCCCACCTTGTCACTTGGAGGAATTGTGAAGGATAAACCATGCAAGACAGGAGGAAGTTCAGGCCTATAACGCAGGACAACATCCTCAAACTTGATGGATCCTGCTGAAGGCCATCCAGGAGGGGGACGGTTGCTCTCAATAATAGATGGACCCTCAGAAGGCAACTCTATATATGAACCAACCCGCTCAACGGCATTTAAACTATTCTCAGCAAGACTTGCAAGTCTCAGTACACCAGTCAATAAACCAGTAATATTTAAAGCATAACTGAGAAGCAGACCCATTGTTGAGGCAAACGCCTCCTGGTTTTCTGCTCTTCCATTCTGCATAACAGCAAAGGTTGCTGTAAGCCAAATCATGAGGCCTCCCAATGTTTCCAAACGGATTGCAAGCCAGCGGTTTGCACTCATGTTTACAAGAGTGAATCTGATATTGTTGTCCATGGATTTCCCATTAATGTTGGACATCCGATCGTACGCTTTGTATGCACGAATAGTTGACAAACCATTCAATGCTTCTCCAAATTGTGCATACACAGGCGATCTGGAAATGGAATCTAATCGCTTAACTTCACGGGCTGTGCTCTGTAAAAACAAGATAACACTTAAGTAATCAATTATTCAAATATAGATAGAGTCCTAGTAATCTGACCTATTCACTGCTAGCCGACTGTGACATGAGCATATATGAAAAACTTCAAGAATATAAAACAAATTATAAAGTGTTAAAGGATATAAACATTAAAATCACATCCTCTCTAAAAGCTTAAACGTTTGGAGTAGATGGTGGTTAATATGGTCCTAGAGCCAAATGGTCTCAAGTTAAAACCTCGCTGACACCCTAATAATTAAAATTTAATCACTTGTTGGACCAAAACGGATGTCTCACATGAAGGGGCATGTTAAAAGAGTTCAATATTAAGCTACACTCTCTCTAACAGCTTAAAAGTTTAGAACATATGCTGGTCAACAGCAAGCATTTATGAAGGCTGTGCAGCTAATGAAGCAGAGTTGTAAAACGTTTTGATCCACACTTATCTACACTGTAATACATGAGTGAGGATGACCAGTGCAATTTAAAGTAAAGCATAAATGCATTCACCATTTTGATTCTCAATTCCCCACTAATTTTGAAATTGTGCTCACGTCTACTTAGCTTTTGAATAAAAAGCACTTTGCAATAAATCTATACCAAATCATGAAGGAGTTATCTACAAACTTGCACAAACTCAAATATGAGTGCACTGTAATAGGGATGATCAAATGGATAACTGATAAGACACTAAATAGTTTATAGAAATGAATGCATTCACGAGAAACTGAATGTAGCACTAACTGAGGATCAGACGATAGAAAGATGAGTTAGATGGTTTTAAGTAGCAGCAATGAAGAAGAATAATTGCACAAGGAAGAAGAGTTACTGTTTCAAACTGAAGGTGCTATAAAGGCAGGGAAAAAATGTAGAACGATGCAGGGGAAAAAACTGTTTGTTTCATGGCTACACAGTTTTAACAGCTCTACATGAATCTGAATTTCAATACTAGTTCATTCAACCAACCCCAAATTGTTAAAGGATTTTTCGAGTAGATTTGGTAGCTTTTTTCTGTTCCAAATAGAAAATTGTAGGGTCTCATCAACTTTAGTTGTGATCAAGTAAAGTTTTACCTAGTGTATATTATACATGGTTAAAACATGTTAAGATCTCAAAGAGTGAAAGACACAAATAAATAAGAACTTGTGTACCTGATAATATAGATAGGCTGCATAAAACAATAGTAGTAGTGGCATTATAGCCCACAGCGATGTAGTGCTGACTATTCCTATCAACACAAAAGTTGAAAAGAGCTGTGACACTTGACCGAGAAACATATTCACAAATGGGGCAACACTCCGGTCTATGTCACCTAAATCCTTAGCAAATCTATTGATAATCCGTCCAAGTGGATTGGTGTGGAAGAAGACCATCGGAGCTTTTAGAATGGAGTTGAGCATAGCATCATGCAACACTCTGGCTGCATAAAGACTTGATAGGATCAACCAAAACGAATTTGCCAATGTCACCAAAACCTGAATCCCAAAAGATATAACAAACTATGAGATTTTCCCCCCTTTTTTGCACTAAATTTCCAAATACAAGAATCTAAAAAAACCAAACCCAACTTTTTAGAACAGCAGAAACAAGGCATCTAAGTGATACAACAAATAGTGGAACTAGAAAAAAACTTCTGTAGAGGGATGAGATAATTGGAAATTGCAAAGATAGTTTTATTGCATTTGTAATGGAAACCAACTATATCCAGCTGAATACATACTTGACCAAAAGATAGAAGTGCATAGATCAGATTGTAGAAACCATTCCCGTATCTCTTCGAACTGCTTTGATCTGTCCAAAGACTTAACCAGGTGCTACCACTAACCCGTAGAACTTCTGTTAGGACATAGCACGTAAAGAGTATCATAACTACCCATACGCCTCCCAATGCATCTTTATACCTGCAAAAATAACATAATTATAAACCTAATCAACAGAACTTTTATCATATAGCATGAAAATTTTGGTAAAACAGGTCACCAATCAGATATTGGTTGATAAAGATATTTCCGTCAATATATTTAATTGCAAGGAGTACCTAATAGATAATTCAATATTGTCTTCTATGATACCCATCAACATATCACAAAACTAAAAGATAAAAGATAGTGATGCTACATTGCTACCAGCGTTTTGATGAATATTATACTGTGCATATCATTGATATCAACATACTGAGATGTTATTTTCAAGAACATATATATATATATATATATATATATATATATTCATATATATGATGTTAGTTGAAAGTCTTTTTAAGTGGCTTCTCACATTCAAAAAGAGTCGAAAGACCTTACACCATTAAAAGAACTCACAGAATTCCCAAGAGAAAGACTTCTTACCAATACAAGAACATCTAATAGAACAGATTTTCAATTTTTTAGTTTATAAAATTAAAAGGCCAAAAACTAACATCTGTAAAAAAAAAACCTTTATTTGTAACAAACCCTTTATTTGTCATCTGACCTAGTCCATTCCATTTTCCTTTTCCTTTTTTTTCTTTATTTCTTATTTTTACCGGTCAATAAGAAAAAATAATTTCATTGACCAAGGGAAGATTATTACGTACAAATTAGGACCAGATATCCTACATCTAAAGGACAAAGACAACAATACAACACATAAGCAAACAAAACATATACCCCTCGACACCTCAAGAAAGATAATAGCTTATTATCTTCTTTTCTTTTCTCGTGATTTCTTTTAGCTAAAAGGTCTGCCTCCCCATTTTCCGATCTATCCAAAGAGAAGTTTTCAGCAGCTCCTTCAGCAGATGCACATGAATCATCCAAATGAACCCATACCTGCTTCCAAGATAATTGTCTGTCCAAGTCAAAATCCATTCTAAGAGGCTTTCTTTCCAAACAAATCTAGCAGTCGGAGGTAAGGAGAAGTTGCAGTAGAGGTATTTGAGGCAGCTTGCTGAGATGCTCTACCACATTTTACTCACATTTTAAAAATCTTAAGAAACTCAGCAGTCTCTTGTTCAGTTGGCTGTTTGACTTGATTGTCCACTTTATCTTTTCCCTTTCCAATGACGTTACCTGCAAAGAGGAAGCCAGAACCTAGATTGTCTCACAAAATGAGAATATCCCCAAGAATCTATTTCACTATTTTTAGCAGATTCATTGACAACCTATGAAACACACTCTACTAGCTCTTTTCTCAAGCGGATGCAGGCGGCTGGCTTCCTGATGACGTTTGCAGATGCCAACTATGGTCTAACCACATCACTTTGACCCATGGACTAGGGATATGAAGGTAAGACCTTACTTTTATCGTCCTAGATGATATCACCTACACAAAGATAGCATGGATTCCCAAGGGAATATACATTAAAAAAATTCCATGTAGCTGACCAGCTGAAGTCTTCAATATGATTTCATGTAGATGATACGCCCATCCAGTCATAAAGAAGAAGTGATACAGGCATTCCTTCAAATTCCTTCTTTCTTTTTTTTCCACCTAAGAATTCCTTCAAATTCTTACGAGGCAGATTCCAACTAGTGGCAAAGAAACTAATCCCACCCACATTTCATCAATTCTACAGCTCTCCTCAGAAATCTAACATTACTCTCTTCCAGAGATCATTGCTACCCTAGCCCCAAATCGTCACCGCGACTACTGACTGCTCTCCACTGGCGACAGCTGTAGCATCCTCCACCAGCGACTCTCCATTGTGCACCACCAGGTTTTTTCCTTTCTCTCACTTCACAGCCACCCATAAGCCTCTAAATCCACCACCACCCGCCACAATGTCACCTTCTCCACTTCCTCTTACTTCACAACCACCACCCACCCAATCGCCACCCATTTTTACCAGCACTGAACTCTCACCACCACCATGGCACCATCCTTCAAGTTCAGGCATTAGACCTTCACCCCTTAAGTCATCATTGTTCACAGCCCCCACCACCTCCACTGCTCATAGCAGCTGCCACCACTACCGCTGTTCACCTCAACCACAGCACTCCCCACCTGCCACTGTTCACAGAACACCTCACCAGTCACCACTATTTATTATATCAACACAGAGACTGTTTATATATAAACATCCTGAGAACTGACAGTTTAATGTTTTTATATATTCACAGTACACACATCAAAAAATTGAATGAAGAGGATTATGGAGTTCCTTTGTTTGCTATCTTTTTGTGTGTTTTCTTATTGAACTTATTGTTTGTATGTTATGAATGATGAGCAAACAAATGTTGGAGATTTCAATTAAACAATTTATGTATCTTTCTTTATAAGATTGCTGAAATGATGAATTAAATAACTGGTGTCATGTAGTCATTTTTTTATTTTGTATTACATTTATGGTATTAAGGATAAAATGCTCAAAGATGAATTTCTAGAATATATATTAATATGTTATACATAGTTCTCCGTATTGGCCGGGTCGCTAAGACTCGGCGACTCACCCGCATCGAAGTCCAAGCCCCATCGATAAATCAGTGGGAGTTCAAAATCACATAAGACTTGGCCGAGTCCCAAGGGAATCGGCCAAGTCCCAACCAAGAACCTATGGAATCGACCGAGTCCTTAGTGACTAAATTTCACGACCGCGTAAACCGATTCCATTACGTTATCTCCAATATGGCTCCACATCCACCACGTTCTGTGTCTGCATCTTCAAACCATGATTTTGTATTATTATTTTATTGTTGTGTCTGCATTTGTCGTATCGATGTGTCCATATCGTATCGCACCCATATATGTTCTTCGTACCAGGCAACCTTACCCGTATTCTTCAAAAGCATATTAAAGGGATTTCGCATGATCAAGATTAGAACATAGAGAACTTTAATCATCATGAATATTCTTTCTGCTTGGTTGTGTGGGTCAAGCAAAAGTAACTACACTGTTCAAATGATGAGTTATGTACTATGTGCGGCAAATGCCGGTCCAAATAAAAATGAAGAAATAATAGACAAACAAGATGATATATATTAAAGGACGTGAAGTGTGAACAAGTTGCTGCATTGACTTTTACCTCTTTAAAACTTTCCAACTGATAACACCTGTTTCCCGTTCTTCCTGCTTAATAAGAACAGATTTGCCTTCTTTTCTTTTATCTGTGTGGCTTGCATCTTTTGGCAAATCACTAGTAATGCCATTAGCAACTGGTTTTGAGGTTTGCTGATCAATTTTCTCACCTTCTTCCTTTTCTTCCACATATTCTTCCATCTTTCCTGCATTTTCCATCAGTTTCTGGAACAACATGCCATTATTTGAGAGGTCCTCAAAGGTCCCTTCCTCTTTCACCATACCTTCATGGACCAGAATAATTCTATCAACTTGTGAAAGAAAATGTAGCTGGTTTGTGACTAGAACTCGGGTTTTTCCTCTTAATTCTTCCTTAATGCATTTCTCGAAAACCTGGAGGAGCAAACAAAAGCGATAACATAACATTCAAGAAAAGTTTAAAAGTTCAAAGTGCAACAACCAAAGATGATTACAATGATACAAAAAAGGTGATAATAATAGAAAATAACAGAGGTAGGATACAAATCATATTCCAAGATTAAAATGAATGATATATTTATATAATAGGTCCTTCGATGAAAAAAAAAAAAAAAAAAAAGGAAGTTCCGGGTAGCATATACTGAACATGGACAGAAACAACTTTCCGGGTAAAAAAAAAAAAGGCATGAACAGAAACAGGTAAAGTTAGCATATAGTGCTTAAAAATAAGTTTTGTTTTGTTTAGAACTACGTGTTTCTATGTATGTAATTAGCTTTCCCGCATCATAGTATCTTGTGACTCTTACACTGAGAATTTGACCTTGAAGACATCGTAAAGTGTCAAATTTAGAAACCCAAGATTACTTATCAAAAAAAAAAAAAAAAAAATTTAGAAACCCAAGAAACTGATGATATGAAGTGGTTGCCGAAGGACACAGGATAGTGTGTCCATAGACATGACCATATATTACAACAACTCATATGCAGCTCCAAACAGAACCCAGTAGCTACAATGATAAGTGGTCTTGAGGTGATTAATATTATTATCATCATCATCATCTAAAATGCAGTCGTTACCTGTCGACCAACATGGGCATCTAAAGCACTTAGAGGGTCATCAAATATGTAAACATCTGAATTGGAATATACAGCCCTTGCCATGGAAATTCTCTGCTTTTGCCCACCACTTATATTAACCCCTCTTTCACCAATCTCAGTCAGATCACCGCCCTAAAAATAAGCATGTAAGGCAGACAAGATATTCAGGTTCAGTAAAAACTAACAAAAAAATTCTGCACGTTGATGATGACTACCAACATGATAACCCATCGTACATGTACTTACAGGCAGCAAATCGAGGTCATGCTGCAATGCAGTCACACCTATTGCCTTCTCATATCTTGCGGGTTCAAATACAGATCCAAATCGTATGTTATCACGTACCTGAAATGAAAAAAATATGAATGTCATGTGACAAGAAGCAAAAAGCATATCATTTACATAGAGTGTGGCCTAATTAAATTCAACTCCATGGACTGACTTTCCACCTGAACCATGTTGGTGTAAGCAATTAACATATATAATATTTCAGTAAGGTATGCCAACAATTGTGAGACCAACTTAACCACCAGCAAGTTTTAAATAGCTAAAAGAGCAAGCTTTTACATACTGTAGCATTGAAAATCCATGAAACTTGCGGAACATAAGCAACCGTTCCTCTCATAATAAGATTTGCATCTGCAACTGGAGGAAGCTCTCCAAGCATTGCTGAAATAAGTGATGTCTTTCCTTCTCCAGTACCACCAACAATTGCTACTAAGCTACCAACCGGTACATCCAAATTAATATTTGACAAAGTGGGCTTCTCTGCCTGAATAAGAAACAAAAAGAAAAATTAAAATAAAATGAAAACAGTTTGTAGAAAATTCCGAAACAAGCACAAGAAGTACACAGAAGCCAACAGTCATCAGGTACAGAAAAGAAAAAAAATAAACTTTCCCATGGCAAACTGTTGTACAAGGCATTGACCTTGAGACTTGTCTTCAAATGTGACTAAAGGAAAAAATTTAAACCAGGGCATCAAAAAAGTTCACCAAGGCATTAATTTTGCAATCCAGTTTTGACCCACAAAATGATTTTTGACCGGTTCCTCTTGCACGTCGTGGACCTTGTTTAGGACTCTATTGTAGCCCATCACATAAGGCCATTCAGGGTTTAGAGTGGGATTCGACAGAAGACTAACAACCGCAAGAAAGATAGTGAGAGAAAAGAGCTAGGGTTTGGGAGCTGATTTTTGCATAGTAAAATCTTTTGTCAGATCTTCATCGTGGATGTAATCTTTACGCAGAATCGCATAAATCTTTGTGTTTCTGTGTGTCGTGTTTACTTTTCTACTTGATTCTTGATCTGTTCTTGGTTCACAATGCATAACGTAACAAGACCCCTAGATGAGTATGACATAAATTAGTTGTGACATCCACTAAAGGGAGGTTGCTAGCACTTGTATGTGCTGATGCCTCCTAACTGTGTAGACGCGTTTTGAAAAACTTGAGCACGGAGAGTGTGCAAATCAGATAATATCTACAAAGCGGGGTGGGTCATGACAAATGGTATCAAAGCCAATCCCCAGCCAAAAATGGGGGGACCGTGCACAAGCTCATGAATAGCCATATTTAGCTCCTTTATTTTAGGGATTTAATTATTATGATTGTTGAAAGTTAGGGATTTAATTATTATGATTGTTGTAAGTTAGGAGTAGATTGTAGGGATTTGTTTTAGACTTTCCTTGTATAGTTTTCTCTCTTTCCTATATATACTTTTACAAGATGTAAACATATTAAGAAGATGAAATATACAAAAAAAATTCTCAAAAAATCAGCATGGTATCTGGCAAGATCCTGTGTCCAACCCTCATTGTAACCTTGATAATAAAAAATTAAAAATAAATAAAAAATTGAAACACGTGTTGCACCAAAACGAAGGCCACATGTGACAGGGCATGTTGAAGGATTTAAATATTAAAATTATACCCAGTCTAACAGCTTAAGCTTTTGGAGTAGATGGTTGTTAACAAGTTGCTAGCACTTATGTGTGTGGATGCCTCTTAATTGGGTAAGATTGCATCTAATACAAAAATGTCTCAGATATGTTCTATTTTTTAGTACATATAAGTAGTAATATAGTTGGGTTAAGCATTATGAACTTAATATTACACGCATTTTTTAGTGAATTTTTTTTTAACCAACTTGAAGAGGGCAATGCCTAAATGTGATAGCAAACTTATAAAAAAACAACAAGTATTCTAAAATAAATAAATAGTTTTTGATTGATAAGCAAGATCACTCATACGTAGAGAAAATAATAATAATAATAATACGTAAGCATTAATGCAATTAGGTTCAAAAGCTGACCTTTGAATCCCAAGAAAAGTACCCATCCTTAATTGAGATGGCCGGAAGTCCTGGATCAAGAGGTGGGTTAGGCAAAAGAATTCTCTCTTCAGCTAAGAGAAGTTCCTCCAGGCGTTTCAAAGATACATTTGCATTCACAACCTGTCAAACTACAATCATTTATTAGAAGCTCAATCACATATAGAAAGCAATAAAAATTTAAGCGTTACAATTTCTAAAATACAATGAAAAAATATAAAACAGTGAGAAACTACTTTTTTTTTTCTTCTTTTAGCAATGAGAAACTATGCAAAACAAGACATTGTAAACCATCCTTTTCATGCAAACAATAGACCAGGAAAATTCTGAAAATGTTATGAGGGACGATGAAAACCAATTTCCCAATGAAAGTATGTGTGTGTGTGTGCGTGTGTAAAGAAGCTATATAGAAGAAGCTTTTTGAATTATAGTTTAAATTCAACATAATACTAATCAGAGTAAAAAAATATATATATGAAAATGGGAAGGAAAAAAAAAAAGGACAAAGAAAGTGCAGTGAATAATATTTGCTGAAGCCAAATATTGCTTATCAAGAAAATTATATTTTTCTAGTTTACAGTTTCTTTAAATATATATACAAATTCAAAAGAATAAGAAACAACTCCAGCATTATTTGCACCATAAAATAATCCGCCAAACATGATAAAATTGTCAGAAATTGATTAGCAGAATCGGTATTACATGCTTTTGCAAAGATAAATGACCTAACAATGCTGGCTCCTCATCAAAAATGAAAGATTTTGTTGTTACAACAATCGATGAACAGAACAGTTTGTGCAATTGTTATACAAAAGAAAATTAAGTACTGAAGTAGGGAAGAAAACTAGGTAAAATATTACTTTGTCCAGATTTTGTTGTTGCAACAATCGATGAACAGAACAGTAAATTAAAAATTCCTGAAGTGGGAAAGAAAACTAGATTTGTGTCGGGCATCAAAAATATTACTTTGTCCGAAGGATCGCTCATTTAATGAAACTGATCATTATGCAGTATCAGATATGAAGAAGGAGCAACATAAAAAACATAAACTAAAGAAGCCGTCCCAATGCAATAAAAAATATTACCAGTAAGTCAGATAATATCAGAAACATAATAGCCGTGAAAAGAACAGAACCTGAGTTATGATATTTGGAAGCATGAATAGTGGAAACCGTAGCACAGCAAACAAAGAAAGTGATGTAAATGCCCTTGCAGGCGTTAGATCCCCTCCGAGCAAAGAGAACAACCCAAATGAAACCACAATCACCACAACTGGAACACTGTTTAATATGAAACTGTTACACTGCAAAAGCAAGATAAAGGATGAGATTTTTCTTTTTTACAGAAAAGAGTGAATACAAACAAGGAAAACATAGGGGGAAGAGTAACCGGAAAGAAAGAGAGAGAAAGGAAACAGTTTTATGGGTTGCTGAAGTCAATATGAGTGTTGCGTAAATGTAAACATTTTTATGTGAGGAAAGTTGAACATTATTATGGTAACCAATAATCCATGATCAATGTATATTAGATGAAGCACATGCTGATCATTATGAGTATCAAATGTAAAGACTGGCACTGTGTGAGCCTAAGTACTTGCTTTGTCAATCAACCCCAAATTAATTGCCATGCACTTAATTCAATGACAATGCTGCATTTGATTCTGTCTCCAAAATGCCAATTCCGACACAAGAAAATTGTGTATGACACCAAACACTCAATGTCAGATTCCTTGACCTAGTTAAAAAAGGAAAGGAATCTGGATCCATGAGCATGCATGTTATGCATCTATGCAATAAAAACTAGATAACAAAAACAATTTAATGGCGTAACCTAAAATATCATTTTGATCCTATAAGAAACAAGAATTTTTTTTTCCCAAGAGTGTTTTATTCCATACCGCTCCCAGTAGTTGTGCTTTTCGGAACCATGCCAACTCATCAGTCCGCACACTTTGAACTTTGGATTGAAAACTACTCTCCCATGCAAAGCATCTGAACCAATTTGTCATAAAGAGTCAAAATGATAATTTCAACAACCTAAAGTCATAGCACAAAAGTCTAACAGAAAGCATTCTCAAAATGAACCATACTTTACAGTCTCCATTGCAGCCAAAATTTCATTCATGAGGCCAATTCTTTTGTCCGTCCGCTGCAGTCCTTCCTTGGACAATTTCTGCATTTTGCTTATCACGAATGTCTGTTCCACAAGAAGCATTTAAAAAATTATTCACATGTCTATTCATTATAATATAAGATACTACAAGAAGTAACAAAGAAAGAATTATAACATCCTGAAAACTCCAAATTTGTTTTCTTTTTTTAATTCTTTTTTCAGGAAATTAACTCAGGAAAATTCAAAAGAACAATAAACTGTATTAGGCACTACTTGAAAGAACACTCTGATAAAGCGGACACTTCTGCCTCTATATTCTCCATAATAGACACCCACCCAATTTATATAGGGTTGGATGACCTGCGAACAGGATTTCCAGAAATAAAAAACAGTTTATAGGTCAAGGTTGGATAAGTGTAACAAGTCTCATTTACTTTGGTTTTTAAGGACGTGTAGGCCACATGAAGTATTTTGTTTACAAAAGATACCCTAGTTTTTAAAGCACTTTGTAAAAGGGGAAAAAAATTATCTCATAAAATATGCATACTTTGAAAAGAAAAACAAGATTATGTTTACAGGCATATGTAACTGCCTAATGGAAACCAGAAGCAATCATCCTTCAAACGAACAATGCCGAGCAAGGCCTAGTACCAGGCTGCTTGAGCTCACTCAGGTAATTTGGAGATACTCAAGCTTAGCTCAATATCTGGATTAAGCCAGAAAGTTCAGGCTCAGACCAACAAATCTTGCAGGGATTGTGAGGTAGAGTTATTGTTGGAAGTTGGTCAGTATCAGCGGCTTGTTGGGAACCTCATCTACCTATCCATAACCCGATCTCACATTGTTTATGCCGCGAGCGTAGAATCAATTGATGCACTCTCCTCAGTTCTCACACCCCTCACCTTGATGCAGCTATTCGGATCCTTCGCTACCTGTAGGGGTGTCCGGGCCATGGTATTTTGATTGCCAATCACGGTCACTTACGGGTTGAGGCTGGACAGGTATTGATTATGCAGGATGAATTTCAGATAAGAGATCCATTTGTTGGCTAGCTACTGTACTACTATTGGTGGCAACTTGGTTACTTGGCGCAGTAAGAAGTAGGACGTTGCCTCTTAATCGAGTGCAAAGGCAAAGCATAAGGTTATGGGCTATGGCTCTTGGAATGTGTGAGTTGCTATGGCTGAAAACACTGACAGCAGACTTGTACCTTCCAGTGTCACTTTCATTCTCACTTTACGATTACAACAAGTCTGCCATTAGCATTGCAGCAAATCCCGTTCAACATGGCAGGACTAAGCATACAGAGGTTGACCGTCACTTCATTCGAGAGAAGATCATCTCCGGTCAAATATTCATTTCGTTTGTCACTACCTCTCAGCAGCTTACAAACATTTTTAAGATTGGTGCCAGCAAGACCGTGTTTGAGGATGCCATGTCCAAGTAGGGAATCTCAAATATCCATGCACTAACTAGAGGGAGTGTTAGCTAAGATATGTTAGTCTAGAATCATGGGATTTGACTTATATATTAGCCAAGATATGTTATCTACACATCTATTTAGGCATAGAATCTGCAATGATTTTATTTGGTTTTCTTTCTTGCAATATTTAACATGTGCTCGTTTAGTATATAAATAACAGAGCTGCAAATGGGTGATTATTCTCATCCAAGCTTTACATATTTCACTTCTATTTCTTCCATAACGCTTAAACATCAGCTTAAGATCTTGTTTTGCCTTGCTATTCTGCTCACAACTCATAGTAATATTTCTATTAAGTATACATGATATATTTCCTTGCCACTATAAGCCATTATTTTCTGCCCTTTCTCCTTGGAACACCTTAAAAAGCATCACTCTTTGTTATCACTTATTCATCTTCACATGTTCACCTCAGACATGCTTATTCAGCAGAAATTCTTTCTGACATTAAAACAGTAACTTCAGTGACAAGTCTACAAAGTAAATATGTATGTGGCAGAATGAAAAAAAAAAAGTGCCAAAAAAGGCTTGCAAAACTATTAATAAGAATAAAGAAGAAACCTGTAACCCCATGATGATTGAAAAAAAAAAAAAAAAGTCTACACTAAAACTAAAGAACATCAAGGTAGGGAAGGCGAGGGTTTGAGCCCCCATACGATTCCTTGTGTGGGGGTGTTACGTGTGTATTGTTTACCTAACCAAAAAAGGGGGAAAAAATTAAAAAAAGTGTACCCCTCATAATTAAAAGCAAGAGGTGCACCAAGAAGGCAATCAAAAATTATTTTTTTTCCCTAGTTGGTATAGGCAATCAAAATTTTCATTTGAATATAATTTCTGTCTTCTTGGAATCAAAGCAGACTGCACATTTTAATATAATATAATAAAGAACCACCTTCAGTAGAGAAGCTACCACCTTAAGTATAATATTCTTTAAACATCCAAGTAAATAAATGATTTAAAATCACTAACATCTATAGCCCCATGTTTCTTTGAAGTGAGAGCAATCGAGGTAGCCTTTGTTCTGCATTGAAATTTTCCCTCCGCGCAGAAAAACCCAATCATTACTACAATTAGGTTTCCTTTAATCGTATCCCAACCTTTTCAAAGAGAAACCAACCAACAAGGCGCTTTTGGAATCATGACTATCAGACCAGAGAAAAAAACTAAAATATATATATATATATACCAGGCACTTCATCCCCTTCAGTTACCTTTTAGTTCAATGCATCTCTTTACTAAAATTGGTCTTTTTGACCATGCCTACAATTTATAATTACCAGACACTCAGTACTACAAAACAAGGCTATATACAATTTCATGATTTAATGATTACATGCCAATCATACAACATTCCTGAAATAATCCACTTCATCCATCACTCTATCTGAAGCTCATAGATTGTCCAGACAAAATAAAAATAAAAAATTCAGTAAAACATACGTACCCCAGGACATACACATTCACTATATCTTATTGACAATCAAATTTTATCCAAAAGGTAAATCCATATATTTTCCTTAGCTTTCCTAATTTTGAGTTTTGACATATTTGAACTAAAGGATCTCTATAAAGCTCCCAGTGTCTAGCATAAATTGAACTCATGAAATACAAACAGGTCAGCTACCACAAACAAATAGATTAGCATAACAAGGATATATCAAGATCCGGACACTAAATGGGTCCAATAATTAAAAACAAAAAACAAAACAAAACATCATTACATGACACCAAAACTTTTCAAAGGAAAACATGAAAAAATAAGTGAAGTAAAAAACTCATGTACCTGTACAGGAAACAAAAGAACAAGCAGTATTGCACCAAGAAGTGAAGCAACACCCAACTGCTGGTACAGAAGAACCATTGCGACAATAATGCGGAAAGGAGCAGACCACAAAGTGTGAAGTGATTGGCATATTTGCTGTGTAAAGAGATGAAATATTTAGCAATTAAATCAACCAAGGAACTTGTGCAAAAAAGCAGACAGATTAACGCTCTACAGTTACATCACATAAGGATAAACGTTAAAATCTTAAGGACTTAAATCCTATAATCAATAGTCCAATCCCATCAATTTAGGATGCTGGGAAGGTTCACCAGGTATAAAACTAACCTTCAACTGTTTTCCAAAAACTGACTTGCAGCACTTTGAAATGAAGAGTGTACTACAAATGCTAATATTTTTTAACCATAGTTTATCAAGAAAATGGAAAATAACTTAAAGTTCATATGTTTGATGCAAACACTGCAAATCAAGAAACTGAGGCATTACTGTTTTCTGAATAGTGAACCAAAAAGAAAATATGACTCAAATTTGGAAAATTTTCAACATCTTATACTCCTATCATTATAAAGCTGTGTAATTACTATAACTAAATATTCAATTGATTTATAAGTTTAAACAAATAGAGAAGAGTGTACCTAATTGCTTATCTCATCAAGATACCCTCTCATGTGTAGATTAACTATCTCATCGAGATGCCCTCTCATGTGTAACTAGACTCTCCTCCGTCAAGAGGGCAAGTATGTGCATCTAAGCAGCACGGAAACGGATACAACGAGGACACGGCGAATAATAAATATACTTTTTATATGTATATGACGTTGTACTTTAAGAAAGTAAGAGTAATATTATCTTTTGTCAACCTAATAATGAAAAAATAAACAAAAATTTGTGTTTAGCCGAGAAAAAGAAAGAATGATAGAAAGAGGGTTAAGAAAGAGAAGAAAACAAAGAGGATTAGGGTTTTGTTAGAAAAAAGTTCATGAAAATAAGAGGAAAAGGGAAAAAGAGAAAAAGAATTTTGTTGTGAAAGGTAAAGAAAGAAGCATCTAAGGTTTGTGGAGAAGAAAGACCATCCACCGGGAGCGAAGCTTGGTTAGTGGGGAATATGAGATAGTCAAAGATCATTGTGCAAGAGTTTGAACCTTTGAACTAAAATATAAGCATAAATATAAGATTGTTTAATACAAAATTGTTTTATAAAACAACTTTTAAGTAATTATGTAATGACCATCATATTTTATTAAACTCCTCATATTTACACTTCAACCTAACTTTCTTTCTAAGAATTTCTTTAAATCCCCAAGTGCCTTAATCATTAAAAAAAAAAAAAAAAAAAAAAAAACACACACACACACACACATATGGGACACACATGTCAGACATGTATCCATGGCACGTCTCGTGCCGTGTCCGAATATTCAAAAAATAATAATAATAATAATAATCCAGACACGTTTTTTTGGTTTGTCTGACACGTGTTAGTGAGTACCGGTGTCCGACATGGATTCTTCGCCGTTTTCGGAGTGTCCATGCTTCCTAGAGGTGCATCCATACAATTACCAGGAATGTATTAGATTTGAACACGGGATCTACCTACTGCAATAACATGTAAGAATAGGATGTGACTTCAATATTTCATCAACAAAACTCAGTCAAATCCTTTAAACCTAAACATTTCATTTTTCCACCCAATACCCCAAATTACAAGTTCATATCTCCAAAGTGGCTTCACTTTAACATTAACTCAATAATTACCAACCACTTTCAACAATCTATCCCCACTCAAAATTTACTCAAATTTCCAACATGAATAGTTCCTACTCGCAAGTCACACCTACCAAGTTCCCACTCGTGTCCTCAACAATGGGAGCGAGGCTCTTTGTACTTATTAAATCATTGACAAAGCCACCCCTCCACTCCATGATCACAGTTATATATAATATCATATATATATATAATATACCCCTGTTATATGCTGCTAAATTATATATATAATCAAATAATAATTAATACATCATCATCATCCTTGCCTTTTTTCCAAATGAATGGGGTAGGCCACATGGATTCTATTTCTCCATTCTATTCTATTATACACCATGTCTCCTTTAATATTTAATGTTTTTAAAACATTTTTAATTACTTCATTCCATGTTAATTTTGGCCAGCCTCGCTTTTTTCCTTTTACCTTGCAAACTACTCTTCCCTTTCCAACGGTCTCATCAACAGGTTTACGTTCTATGTGTCCGTACCACCTAAGTCCATTTCTCTTATACTTTCACTAATAGGCCCTATTCCTAGAATCTCACTCACACTTTCACTTTGATTAGTTACTCTACCTTTCCAAGTCCTATAATCCACCTCAACATCCTCATTTCAATTACGTGAATGCGTTGTTTTCGTTTCTTTTTTAATGCCCAACACTATACCTCATATAATACAAATGGCCTAAGGACCGCCCTATAAAATTTTCCTTTTAACCTCCTTGGTATTTTTTACCACATAGGATGCCACTAGTTTGCCTCCGTTTAATCCAACCTATTCCAGTCCTACTAGTAATATGTCATCTTTTTCTCTTCAATATCTGAAGTCCTGTCCTGGACTTGGATTATTTTATTCTTCTAGCAAACAGGTTGGGCTATCCTGTTTCAGCAATGCTGGCTATGCTGTGTCCAAGCTTGACAGACGTTCTACATCTGGCTTCTGTACTTTCTATGGAGACCATCTTATATCCTGAAAAAGTAAGAAACAACCTGTAGTTTTGAGATCTTCAGCAGAGGCTGAGTATCGTGCCACGGCTCAGGGTACTTGTGAGATTACTTGTGAGATTCTCTGGCTTTGATCTTTCTTGGAGGAGCTAGGGCTAGGTAAAAAGTAAACCTCAGACTTGTTTTGTGATAATAAGTCAGCCATCATGCTTGCTTCAAATTCTATTCTTCACAAGAGGACTAAACATATAGAGGTGGACATTCATTTTATCAGAGAAAAGGTTCGTTCGGGAATTATCAAGCCATGCTTTGTTCGTTCCTCTAATCAGTCGGCCGATGTGTTCACCAAATCTGTTGGTCCATCTTTACTTTATTCCTCGATTACCAAGCTGGGCTTGATTAATATCTTCACTCCGGCTTCAGGGGGAGTGTTGAAATATCCTTATTATTATTATTATTATTATTTATTAGTTGTTTTTAGCTTTTTATTAAGTGTTTTATGTAAGATCCCTATAATCATGAGATCACATAGATAAGATCCCCGTAATCATGGGATCACATAGATTTTGGCATATTGTGTTGAAATATCTTTATTATTATTATTTTTATTTTTATTAGCTGTTTTTAGCCATTTATTAGGTGTTTTATGTAAGATCCTATAATCATGGGATCACGCAGATAAGATCCCTGGAATCATGGGATCATGTAGATTTTGGCATATTTTCTGTCTTTCTTTGATTTGGTTTCCTTTCTTTGTACCCCATTCTTGTAAATAAATATAGATCTTGGCTCTCGTTTGAGTAAGCCAAAACCCAAAACAACTTCTTTTCTTCCTTAGAATTATCCACAACACTATGTCATCCGTAAACAACATACACCGTGGGAAGTCATCTTATATGTCTTTTGTTATTTCATCAAAGACTAGTGTAAATAGGTATGGACTAAGTACTCATCCTTGATGTAAACCAACCTTTATAGAGAAATCATTAGTTTCTCCACGTACAGTACGAACCCTAGTCTTGGAATCCTCATATCTAACACCGCCTCTCTCTCTTCTCTCTCTCTCCCTCACACACCCCTTCTTGCAATCAAATCTCACTCTTTCCCTTGCCAAAAGAAGAAAGAGGTAGGAAATAAAAATTCACTCCATCCGACTGATATTTTTACAAGAATTGAGAAATCGGACATTTTTTAAAGATAGAAAAGAAAGAGAACAAAGGGTAAGAATGAGATATCCTTTATCAAAAAGAGAATTAAACATGAGGCACCTGCAGGATATGAAGAAAGAACAGGCAGACAAACTCTTCAAAGGTAAACTCTATCACAACCCCAATCCCTCTTGAGGATTGTAGAACTGCACTCTGATAGGGTTCGTCAAAGAAAGGAGATGGTAATATCAATTATAAGTAAAAATAAAGGAAAGGAGAGGATAGTGTTAACTGTTAACCTCTCCTCGTGTTTGGATGACTAAAAGAAAAGATGGAAATGATACTGATAATCGTTCATCATGCTCGGAAAAGATAGTGAAGAGAAAAGAAGGAAAAGGATTATTTCGCATTGTTTGCAATATGGGCAAAACAGGAATTCACTTAATTCAGATAAAAAGGGGCAAAATGGGTAATCACAAAATCTCCTATCCTTTCTTTCTGAATCCTACAACTTCACAAAGGATAGCCGAAACATAATTTAAAGGATTAGGCTATCCCTCCTCACCCCTAACCCTCACTTCCACCTTTTTTTTCCTTCTCTCTCCAATTACCCCAATCCAACGCAGCAGAAAGCTGATATAAGATTAACAATCTCTCTCCTTAAATGGTTATGTGACCATGAGATCACCGAACAACCTCTCACTCATTGAACATTGTCATCTCCCCCGTATCAATAAATGGTGAAATCCCATATTTGAGCTATTGTTAGGTCATGCAAAAGAGATAAATCTCCACCATAGAAATCTGTTGCCAGCTGACTTAGAAAATTAAAGAACTGAATTATCTAAGGCCTCTCCAAATGCCTCCATTCTCAATTGGACAGAACCCAAAAGAAGCTCCCATCAAAAACTAAAATTAATTCTTCCCGTAGGGGGAAGTGTCCAACTACTAAAATCGGTAACATTACTTCTTTAGCAATATGAAGAAACAACAATCCAATCACTTTCCTGATTACACTCAAGTGCCTTTTGAAGTAAAAACCCACGAGCTAGAAAATAAACCTTTTGAAAGGCCCTCCTTGAAAAAATACAATACTTCAAAAATCATGCCATTCCTCAATTCCAGGCAATCCAGATAATAGCCACCATGGTAAAACCCCAAAGAGTTTTTTTTCCTCACCAACCCCAAAGACTGCAAAGGTAGTAGGACACAATAATTCCAGCAAGAGTGGACAATCTATGCCAAAGATTCAAGGTTATGGGGCAATGAATAAAAAGATATCTAGAAGTCTCGCTACAATTCATCATAGAAATGTCTAGAACCAAGGTTCTATAAGGCTTCCAAGTTTGAGGCACTTCATCAGTATTGATCCTGTCGTGAACTACAAGCCAAACCAAAGCTTTTAACTTAAGGTAGCCTTTACATTTCAGATCAAATTTGCTTTCTTGAGATGGGTTTGTGAGTAAGAATCTTATGCTATCATTTTTGCAATACAAAGAAAGTAAGAAAAACGCGGAATGATCTAAAAAAGGCCATTTCTCCGTGTGGACCCCATTAACCAAGGGTGCTGGCAATGGCTGATCGGGTGACCTCACTTTGGCTACCCCAAAATAATTTTCATGTATTCACCACTAGATAAGCAAACTCTGATATGCTTATCCACGTAAAAAGCATGTTTATATTGAACTCACACACATATATATAAGTCAAAATCTGAATATACTGTGTTATAAAATTCATGACTTCTGAACAGCATCATTCATCACTCTAACAAAAAATAATAATTGCCTTGTTATAAAGTACATGTACAGAGACGCAAAAAAGTTATAATGCGAACATGCCTGGAGGGATTCAGAATCAGTTGTCATCAAATTGGTTATTTTTCCAGTTGCGAATTTTCTGCGACTCTCATGCGTTAACCTTAAAGACTTGCGGAATACAGCAGCGACCTAAAAAACATGAACAAAATATAGAAACTATCAATGACTTTATAGAGCTTAATTAGAATAAAGAATTAACAAATAGCTCTATCACTAGCCATAGCAAAAAAATGACTACTAGTAAATCCACCTGAAAAAAATAAGCTAGCCAAACTACTTGAACACCTTGAGGAAAAAAAATTAAAGATGAAAACATTATACATATATGTACTTGGGCACACACAAACACACATGCACAATGGAAAACCAAACTCAGTTTTTATTGGGCTTAAGTTGGCTATCATACGCTTGTCATACTCAACCAGTTAAGACCCACCACAATGCCAATCAATATCATTGCCAGTTCTGGAAATCAACAACCACACAAACTGATTGAGCTCTCATAGCCATTTCAACCCAAATAAGAACCTACTATTAAGAAAAGCATTTTGACATGAGAATTCCAGAAAAATGAGAGAATCAATTTTATTTTGTTTTTCATTTGATTAGCATGAAGTAAAAAAATATTTCCAATATTAGGTTTTGCATATCTGAACCCAGATAAATAATACAGCCTCAGTGAACTACGTAACTGTGATAGTACACGAGAACAATTAAAAGAATATTGACTTATAGTTACACACTTAATAACTATTACCACAAGCATCAGTTGTGACAAGAATCATAGAATAAGATGCAAATATGAGAATTGATAATCATATACAATAGCAGAATAATTAAATATGATATAATAAACATTGCATTTGAATTGAGCTTTTAATACTCAGAAAACTGCGTGCAACAGAGAGTTAATTGAGTCATTCACCAATATTCAAGTAAAAAAAAATTGGCATGTATAAACATCGTGATACTTAGTTGTCAATTCAAACTAACAGAAAGTATAATCACCAGACGGTCTCTATGGCTTACTGCTGGAACTGTGGAACACCATAATCTAAGCAATTTCTCCTGTGCTTGAGATTAATCGGAACAGAAAGAACTTATTCGATAATATATTGCAATACTCCTATAAAAAAAAAGTATTATTTTGTTCCAAATTAATTGGTAGCAAAATGTCTGGCGGTATCAACCTGGATCAAGATGTAACTATTAACTACCATCTACTCCAAAAGCTTAATCTGTTGGAGTGGGTGTAAATTTAATATTTAAACCCTTCAACAAGCCCCCTCACATGTGGCCTTCTTTTGGTCCAACACGTGTTTTGCAATTTTTAAATTAGGATGACGATGAGGTTTGAACTTGAGAACTTTGGCTCGATACCGTGTTAACTACCATCTACTCCAAAAGCTTAAGCTGCTGGAGAGGGTATAAATTTAATATTTAAATCCTTCCACAGTAACAATCAATGGTGGGTCAATAATCACTTGTTGCCTTTACATAAGGCCAGGTGACGCAGTTCAGGAATCAGCACAGATGCCAGAACATGCTCATGACATGATGACATCAAATAGTGTGGCCTGAGCTTTAATCGTGGTTAGATACAATAACAACCAAGCCTTCTTCCCAACTACTTGGGGTCAACTACATGAATCCTATGTTTCCGTTCTGCTCTATTACGGCCACAGCCTCAGTCAATCCACATGCTATCAAATCTTTCCTTACTAAAGTAATTATGGCTAGATATAGAATAAATTAATACTACAGACTAAAAGGAAGAAATTTTTTTTTTTTTTTTTTGGGATAAGGAAAGGAAGAATATTACTTTACAACCTGATAATTTAGCTTAATTAGGCCCACACAAAAAACTTAATGCCCAGGTCCCATCTGAAACTTAATTTGCTAGGCCAAGCCCAAAGAAAGGCAAAAATATGACCCCACAAGCTCGCATCATATTAGGACAACCAAAGGCAAGCGGCAATATCAACACCCCCACCCCCCTGGGGGCCAAAAATATTAGATACTAAATGTATACATAAAGACCCCTTTTCTTCCAAGTGACCCCAAAGACCCATCTACCTAGGAGAAAAACAGAAGGAGTCTAATAGCGGTAATGGCAATAGTGAAATAAGAAAAAGATTAATGATACTTCAAAGGAAAATAAGGCATACTAAAAGTGCCAGAAAAGAAGAGCCAAAATCATTTAACAAAAGGTTATCAAAGGGGAAAAAAATGTTACCAAAGTTGATCTTAGCCGGTAACCAACACGCATGACATTCTGAAAATATTGAGCTTCACACAGCACACCAAATACCTGAACCGGAAATTTTGAGTCTTTAATGACTGAAAAAATATTCATAAGGTTTCAATTTACATACGTATTCAGAGGAAGGAAAATAGGCACACTTAGTAAACAGTTTGTAGCTTTACTTCAAAAAGAAGCACAGAGAAATTGGTCGAAACCATATAGACTGCAAAAATATAATTAACAAATAACTGGTACTTCTTCCACTAAACGGGAGTAAAGAGATAGTACTAAAAGAATAGCATCCATGTCGCTGAAATAATAATGCTTAGAAGGGTGTTAGGAGTAACTAGAAAGCATATTACGGAAAATTTACAAGTGGCAGCTATAAGCAATACACTAAGAGAAAATAAACTTTGCTTAGGTGATTCGGAGATAAACAATGTAGACCACTAGATGCAACAATTAAAAACAAAAAAAATAAAGAAGACTAGTTCAAATGCAATATATACAAATGTAGAATTGTACATATACCAATAAGAAAGATGAATAAGAAGAATAAGACTAGTTAAACTGCAATTGAAGAGACAGAGAGACAAACCAAAATTGATATGGGGTGAAGTAATAATAAAAGGCCTCAACGAACAATTATATAACGAAATAAATACTATCCAACTTGGCTTTATAGTGGATAATAAATAATTCTACTACTAGACAATTTAAAAATTAGAAAATCATATTCAATTATTAAATATTTGAAAGAAAATATAAAAATATAGAAACAAAAACACATGCACAAAAGGAAATATTAGAACATTCTAATATATGTTGCGATTCGGTCAAATAAATTCTAAGCTAATTGAATACAAAAGGCGACTTTCATAATCCATCAACAATTTAGCGAATAATTAATTGGTTTACTACCAAGGGCTATAGCCTGGTGGTACTTCCTCGTGAGTTGTTAAAAGCTCAAGGCGCACTAAGACGCCAAAGGCGTTCTGGAGCCTAAGGGTAAGGCGCAGTATAAGGTGTGAGCCTGATCGAAGCAAGGAGCGTGTATATAATATTGCATATTTAAACATATATTATTATTATATATTCATAATCAAGCAGTAATTGCAGTTAATGTAAGTAGTGAACCATAAATTTATGAATTTTGTCAAATATTTCATATGGTTAAACAATACGATATATGATATAGAACCTTTTAATTTAGTAATCATTAAATAAAAAATTAAATGATATGACTAAATGATTAAAAAATACAAGGCGCATCTTTTTTTGAGCCTAGAGCCTACTAAAAAGCGTGAGCCCAAGAGCTTTATGTGAGCCTGATTAAAGAGGCCTGGCCTATAATAGGTTGAGGAGCTCTGCCTGAGCCTTGAAGAGCCTGGGGCTTTTTTGGAGCCTAAGCGCACCTTTAACAACTATATGACCTCGTCAAGGGTTCAAGTCCCCACATGGACAATGTGGGTGTGTGAGATTCAAATAGTGGGGGGAGGAAACTTGATTAAATTAAATATAATAGTACATTTTGTTAATCTTTTGTGCTTAAGAGCATATAAGAAGACAATACATCTTTTCTATGAAAAATTAAGAAATATTTGAAAATACATGTAAGGCCTTTTCTTGCTTTGTCTTTTGTGTAAGAAGTTAAAAGGAAATTTTGGATCATTGATAATTAGCAATTCTATTAATTAATAAATTTGGCTTTTCCCACAATAATTAATTATAACCAAGTTGACTGTAATCTGTTGCAATTTTGAAACATCCTGCACTAAGAATTTGCGAAAAAAAAAATTATTTGCATTCAAAGAAAAAACAGTATACTTTCTTCCACAAAGATGGTACAAAATAAAACACACACCAACTTCAATTTGGTCCACCAAACAAACCCTAGAGTTATGCATGTGACCAAACTCAATCATGGAAAAATTAATGCATCTAAATTTAAAATAATGATGGTGGAAAATGATGCTTCAAATCAGAAAGTGTTTAAACGACATTGATCCATCATTTAAATGCATCAATTAACTTCTATTTTGGCTACAAGTCACTCATGAACAATGCCCTACAACTGCAGGAAGCAGAAAGATAGGAAGAATTAAGCTTTCCTTGTCAACAACAAGATATGGCATCTGCAGCATGCATCAATACTATCTAGAGGAACAAAACCACAAAGCATGCATCAAAGAAAATTAAAGCAAGCTTAATTCTTGTTGTTGTTAGACAATTCAAAAAAGAAAACAAAAATTCATACCACTCCAACAAAAATTGAGAAGGCGTACAAGTAACCAGTCCAAGCTGGATCTCCTTGTTGCATAGACTGCAGGTAGTGCACAAAACGATATAAAGTTAGATGGTTATTTTTTTAATTTTAAAAAAGAACAGCGAGTATCACATTTCTTCCAGAAGGGCTCATTATTCATTTTATCACACATCATCTTTTATTTTTTTAATATTTGCAATCCATATTCTAAGATAAGCAGATATGCATTTCATTATTACTACAATATCATAGTGTTAATACTGCATTATCAAACAACTCCAATGTGACCACTTAAGAAATCGGGCCATTACTAACAACTTACTAAGGTACTTCAATTAATTAACAAATATCATTATCCGCAATATTTGAGAATATTAATAGGATTGTTCAGTGTTCACTTATGGAAACAACACAATAATTTATAAGTGGATTGGTGTAACAACCACAAAATATACATCTATATATAAAAAATACTTACAAAAATTAAATTTTAAATAGCCAAAACACTCACGTGACAGTCAGCACATTCTCAACTTCTTTGTCAACATTATACATAATTGGCCACATTATTCACTTTTCTCAGTAGAAAGAGTAATAGGGACACATTACACTCAATTGTTCTATGAAACGGAAGAGAGAGAGAGAGAGCTATAGAAAAAGTGATGAGAAGAATTTGCCCACATTATATTATATTGTTCTCTAAAAAGAGCAATAGGATGGTCCCTATGAAATCCTGTACTTGAAAGGTTTGACAGAAGGCTAATGCGTCGGAAGAAGCAGTATCACCCAGCCATTGGGCACCTCACTATTATCAAGAGTACTCTCTCAAATCTCCAAACATATTACCTATCCCTCTTTCAAATTCCTACCTTGGTAGTGACTTCAAAGGAAATTCTCGTGGGGTGTCATGGGTGACGAAGTTAAATAGCACTTGGTGAATTGGGAGAAGGTATGTAGTCCCATTCAGAGGGGAGGTCTGGGAGTTAGAACAGTTCAATTTCTTTAATCAAACTTTGATGGGGAAGTGACTTTGTAGATTTGAGGTGGAGCTTAACCGTTTGTGGTGGAGGATTACAGAAAGAAAAGTTGGGGACGGAAGAGCTGGGTGGTGCTCCAAGGAAGTTATTTCTTCGGCGGGTGTGAGCTTGGAGAAACATTCATAAGGGTTGGAATGAGTTCTCCAAACATGTCCGATTCAAGGTCAGAAGTGGAAGTTTCATTCGCTTTTGGGTGGACGCGCAGTGTGGAGATTAATCTCTTGCGTGTATGTTTTCGAGATTGTTCAGGATTGCAGCAAACAAGCAAAGCATGGTAGCCAACTGTTATCTCCTTGATAATGGAAGGGTGTCATGGGATGTGCAGTTTGGGAGATATCTCAATAATGGAAATTGGAGGACAACATAGATCTGTTCGGATTGCTTTACGATCAAAATGTGAATAGAGAGGGTATTGATTAGTGGAGTTGGTAGGTTCCAAGCATGGTAGGTTTGCGGTAAGGTCTTATTATCAGATTCTCCAGGGTGATCAGGAGGCAACATTCCCGTGAAAAGTGATTTGGAGGACTAGATCCCCCTCCATGTAGCTTTCTTTGGATGAACAACAATTTTGGGGAGGATTTTCACACTTGACGAATACACGGCAGCATGTGATTAACTAGTTATGCATGTGCAAGTGGAGTGAGGTAACAGTGAGTCATCCTCTTTTTGCTGCCTAGTGGCTAGGGATGTTTGACTATGATTTTTTCAGTCTATGGGATTCATTGGGTGTTGTCCGGTTCCGAAACGAGCATGCTCGAGTCTTTAAGGAGATGTACAGTGGAAAGACGAGCTCAAGATGCTTGGAGGGCAGCCCTTCTTTGTATTTGATGGTGTATGCGGTGCCAAAGGAATAGGTGATCCTTTGATAGTGTGAAAGTGTCGATATGGGTGCTTAAGTATTATATTTTGAGTTCTCTAAATTTTTGGGTTTCACGGAGGAACTGTAAATCTATTGAGGACTTTGTAAATTTTGTGGATAGTTTGAGGATGTAAAGATGAACTATTTTGTGTAATTGTTCTTTGGTTGCATCCCCTTTGAGTGACTTTAATGAAATTTTACTTTTCAAAAAAAAAAAAAAAAAAGGGTATATTAGGAATTCTACTTGTATTCTATCTTCTCCATGTATGTTGGATGTTCATTGATGAACCATATTTTCAATTGACATGGGAAAACCATGCTAAAGGGAAATACAAAAGAACCAAAAAATAATAATAAATAACAAGTAAACATTAACAATGATGCATCTATCATTTTACTTAATGTAAATACATATATACATATCATTTATGAAAGACGGAATAAAAGCCCAATCTCCAGAGTAGGTCTTATTTGAGAAATTATATTTTTAAAGAATATAACACCAATTCTTGAGTTAATATTAGCAAGATAGGCACAACATATTACTCATAAAAAATTAAAAAAAATAAAGATATAACTGCAACCTATGAGTAAAATTAACCAATTTCATTCATAAAGTGGATTATATAGCCAAAATACAAGAAATAAGGGAAAAAAAAAAAAAAAAAAAATCATATATCCAGTGAGGCATTGGCAAAAGCAACTGACCTGTAAGAGGCGATTCAATATAAGTGGCCCCACAAACTGGGAAAGATCATTTCCAATCTAGAAGTTGGTCAAAAAAAGAAGAAACACGTTAAGAATTTGATATATCAAACAGATGTGTGTGTGTGTGTGTGTGTGTGGGGGGGGGGGGGGGGGGGGGGGGGAGGAGGGGGTAAGGGGTTAGGTTAATGTAGTATGCAAATTCTTCCATTTAAAATCTTGAATTTGCCGAAAGGTTTCAGATAACTTAGAAGAAATAAGGAACACTTCAAAATTTCTGGAGGCCGAAACGCCTAAAATTAACTAAACAAAATTCCTCTCAAGGTAGAAATATATTTAAAGGGGCAACTAGTATCCAAATACCAAACCAAAATATCAAAAAGAATAAAATAACCAAACCAAAATATCAAAAAGAATAAAATAATGAGCAGTAAGATATTGATGCTCTTCAAAATGTAGATTTTTTTTTCATCGGAGAAAAGTGGGGAAAGATTTAAGCAACAAAATACAAAATATCAACTTAAGCTCATGAAAATCTATCCACCATGTTAACTTCCAAACAGGTAACAGCTTCAGAAAACAAAAATACATATCTCCATCACTATAATAAATAAATAAAATAAAGGGGGTAGTCACCCAGATTCAGAGCCTGAAAACCACCAAAGGGACCTGCCAGTGTGCCATTAATAAGGATGGAATAGTTCAGCATGTAGATGCAAAATTCAATCCACTTATGCCACCTCGGCATAAAACCATCCTCTCTTTTAGGTATATAAGATAGAAGAAAACTCCCATTTATGTGATCATATGCCTTCACAATATCAGCCTGCAAATAGTCCCCAGCTCATTGTTTTTCATCCTCGAATCTATGCACTTATTCACAAATTACAGAATCAACCATCCTACTAAGCCTCATGACCAACAATTAATTTAGCTACTAATACATATACCCCTCCCACCTAATATATATTAGCTTGAGAATTTGTATGAAATGACAGTATATAGTCCATCTACAAACCTTGCATACACCAAACACTCACCAACAGTGCATTGAATGCATGGCACAGACATTAAGGCTATTAGCCAACACAAAAACTTTATCAGATAATCCTCGCATCTCATTTGCCAATTCAATCTGCAATTCATATTCAATCTCTACAAACAACAACAACAACCAAGCCTTTTCCCAATTACTTGGAGTCGGCTACATGAATCCCTTGTTTTCATTCTGCTCGCAATTCACTGAAATCTGGGGTCCACAGCCACAAGTACGACACCAGAAAGCCAAGTATAAACTACTCTCAAGAGTTTACTAAACAAACGCCATTCTGATAAAGGAACTAAAGGTCTGAGCAATTTTCCATTCTGCTTAAGGAACTAAAGGTCTAAGCAATTTTCCATGAAGTACATGCAGGTGAATGCTGTGCCTCCTAACTCAATGAGATGAATGATATCTAACTAAAATTGAGTAGTAAGGTAACAAAAACTGAATTGGCTCACTACCTTCCAGAAGCCTCCCCACCAAAACCTACAAAAAAACAACAAAAAGGTGATTGTTGAGATTTTTAATGTTTTATAATATCGAAGCCCATGTCTAAATAGACAAGAATGCATATATTCAACAGAAAACAGGCTACGGAAATGATTGGTAGAAATGTATCATAATTCATACCTTGGTCCAAGACTACGATTCAATGCTCTTAAAAGCCATGGTTTAGGCCTACAAGATTCTTCAGCCCAACATCTTTGGAACCTACAATCAATAAAATAATAACAATAATTATAATTATGAAGAATTCATGTAGAAACAAATTTAAGAAGAAATATCCACATACGTGCTGTTCAATGTTTCAGTCCGATCCCAGGTATCTAGTTTCCATACATCCTTCTCCGTAAGAGGTCTTTTATAGCCTAGTTGCATGAGGGGATTCATCCATCCAAAAGCAATTTCTACAGAAGCAACAACAAAGCAAAATTTCAGTAGAATAATACAACAATACATTCCGTAGATTCTGAAGAACATTATTGATGGTCTCACACTCTGCTGCATGTCGTGTCCAACAAATAGAGACAAAGGCAGGAAAAAAATATATATGACTGACAATAAGTTCATAACCACTTAACCATATCTCAATTCAAGAATCAATGGAAGTGTGATAACAAATTAATAAGGTTCACAATAGGTAGTTACAACATTCCAACAGGGATAAGCTTATTGGTAAAGAGATTCAATCTAATCGCAGTAGTGATGAGACACCACAGCATATGATGTTTAATAATTGACAGAGAATCCACAGCATAGCTAACATGTAATTCAGACTTTTCTCTTCTTAACAGCATCCATTAATATCTCATTCAAATGGTAAAGCCATATATGATTACCAGAATAGTTGCATTGGGGAAATATAAATCAATAATTACGTACGAGAAAATATGTTGACATGCCTCTCGGGGCAAATTTGCTCTCCTCCAGGAAGTTCTTCATATTCAGTATTGTCAAAATATTCAGTCCGCATTGGCAAGTAACCCTGATAAGGATCCAAACTGGGAACATACACAAACAAGAGTACTCCAAACAAAACCTACATCAAAACAAAGGGCATAAATTTAGATTGGATGCATGTTGTGCACTGAAATTGATATTAAATCCCAAGGTTCAAAATCCCATCCAATACAAATATTAAGAGACTGGAAGAAAAAGAAGAACACCAAACCTGGGCGAAGACCTCACTGATGTACAAATACAGTACAGATCTGCATCATGAAATAACATAATGAATTTGTATTTCCCAACCATATCTATAAACAGCTATCCAACAAACTCAAGAACTCCACTTATACAAATTTGCACACAACAGTATATATGATTTAAATATATATATATATATATATTGATACTCTTAAACACTGGTTTCCCTGATGAATATATCTCGAATATCTGCTTTAAAAAACAAGAAAAAATAAAGAGAACAGAGAAAACTATAGTTATTGACGACATCAAGTAACTTCCAAAATGACAGCATTTAGGATTTTAAATCCAAAATTAGCGCATAGATTGCAAACGCCTCAATGCTGGACCTATTCTAATAAGCTTTCGTCTGGCTGCCCATCTATTTGCTCAAAAAAAAAAAAACGTCAATCTGCCCTTCACTGCTTTCAATGCAAAAATGACAACATCAAACTAATAAAAACAAGGTTGTTGAATGCCAAGAAACAATAAATAAATAACCACAGATACACACTTAACGTTACAATCTTTATTAATTACCATGGTGAATATTTATTTATTTATTTTTTCCTATGACAGCTAAAATTTCCAATGCAACAGTGTCCACAAATTAAATAGAGACATAGAAGCAACCAAAATCTTATTCAAGGACAAAGCAACAAGACAACCACCGTGGTCGTAAATTGGCTTAGGTCAGGAACATGCAAGTTATGCACCAGTTAACCCCAAAACTGAACCAAATTGGAACCCGCTCTCATATTAGAAAACGAGCACCTTTTGGTGCGCATGGAAGCATAGATATATATACATATAAACATATATTCAGGTCATATTAATAGACAACAGAAATACATGAGAGTATCGAAAAACAGAAACATAAGACAATAATTTAGCGCGGTTCACCCACCACTGGGGTTATGTCCATGGATAAAGACGATCGACAACCCGTCAGACAAACAATACTCAGGCATGGTTTGGGATATTTGTTTAACACTTTTGGTTGGACATGCACCTAAAAAACACATCCAACAATTCAATTTTCCTCAATAAATCTTACGAATTATTTGCTTGAGGGGTGATGCCGATGCACTTATTGGTATGGTAGGTAGCTGTCTTTGGTTCATGGCATTATGGTTACTTCATGAGGGAACCCTACATATCTTTATAGCTTTACAAGGATGGTTTTGCTTCAACCCATTAGCAGGTTTATTTTTTGGCAAAGAAGGGAGCTTTTTTCATAATGACCACTAGGGCCACTTTTATTCCCTTCAACTGGCTATTCTATCTTGTTCTCTTTTGTTGAGGTGCTCACTTTTCTTCTTTTTATGCTTTAAGTCTTTCTCATCCTCCTTTCTTTGTATTCTTCCTCTCTCCTAATAAACTGACCTTTTTCAAATCTAAAAATGAAAAAATAAAATAAAAAATAAAATGTAGAAGATTCAGTGAGAAAGAATCGAAGAAAACATGGTAATTGCATATTATTTGTTGTATAGAATTCTTTTCTTGTGCAACAAGAAGGATTATAAGAATAAAATTTAGCTATAAAGAGGAAAAATATATATATTGTTTCACCTCAGGAAGAATAAAGAAACTAGAGAAAAACTAACCGACTATAAAACTCCTTCACTAAAAGAATGAGATTCAGCATCACAGCATCCCCTACCAAAGCATAAATGACTCCAAATCTGACAAACCAACGAACCTCGCGGATATAAACCTTTGTTTCTACTCCAATCATGATTAAAAGAGAACACCAAGCAAGAGCCTCGATGACCAGGGAAACCATCTGCAATGAATAAATAAAATATAATGTATGAATTTGCTAGTGCAAGTTGCAATTTTTATGACTTTATCAAAAAAAAAAAAAAAAAGTTGCAATTTTTATGATAGAATATGACGGGTCACATGCAATGGATAGTGCTCATGAAAACTAATTATGGCTTCAAGCTACAAGAAACTAAATAAACAAACTCTAGATTAGTCGTTTCGAGTGTCTGTGTAAGGAGTACATAGTCCATCATTCAAGCTTTTATTAAGAAGTTCTCGCATGTGTGACAAAGGAAAAGGAAGGAAATAGAGTTATCCAGAACCCATATATATTATCTCCAGATTGCTAGAGCATAGCATTGTTTGTTCAAGGTTCGAAATTGCTTCAATGTTAAAAAAAAGAAAATGTACAAATAAAATAATTCAATTATGAATTATGATAAAAATATATAAGGTATGGAACGCCATCACAGCTCCCATAGAACTATTCATCATTCCTTGCCATAATCAATTTAAGAGAGAGGAGGGCCAAGGACCAAATGAATGGACCAACAATCGACATGTTTAGATAACACTATGCACCATTCACATTTGATGACTTGGTTCTGGAAACCTTAAATTTTGAACATTATGCATTATGCTTCTGATAATTATCTCTGCTACAGAAAAGCTTCTGAATGTGATTGTAGAAAATTTATCATTCTATTGAAAGCTTCTGCATCTGGTGAACATTGCTATGAATGTGATTCTTTAAGTTCGATTTCAAGCCAAGCATTCAAATGCTATAGTGTCAACAGACTCAACATCCATTTTCAAAAATTGATTTTCATGAAAATAGAATATTGTAAACCAATGCAACAGTGAAGCTGAAAATCAAGAATAACCAAGGCCAATTTTAACATAGTAATGACATGAGCACTATTTTTTACATTCAAAATCCAAAGTTTTCAGTACGGGTGTGGTTTTAATTTTTTAACTTAAAATATATTTTTTCCCCTTTCAACAATGGTGATGTCATTACATGCTTGTGATAAGATGCCAGGGGTAATTTCTTTTCCTTTTCTTATCGAGGAGAAACTTTTCCATGTGACATTCACATCCGTGTGAACCAGAATGAATTCTTTGCAACAGTGAAGCTGAAAATCAAGAATAACAAGTCCATATTTAACATAGAAATGACATGAGCACAAACAGTAAGTTAAGTTTCAATATCCAAAGTTTGTAAGTACGGATGTGGTTCTAAGATTTTAACTTAAAATATAATTTTTCCCCTCTCAACAATCGAGATGTCGTTACATGCTTGTGATAAGATGCCAGGGGTGATTTCTTTTCCTTCTTATCAAGGAGAAACATCTCCATTTGACACTCGCATCCGCGTAAGCCACAATGAATTCGTCTTTTGTGGGTTATGCATGAAACCCACTAATCCAACATGAACGGCGACATCATAGTGGGTGCCGTATGGTGCAATGGCCACATAAAATTTCTCCTCCTTAATAAGATGATAAGTAGCAACAAGACAAACTTGGTTACACAGTTATGGAGTTTACTCAGGAAAATTATATTTTTCCATAATCAGAATAGCATTCGACAGTATTATGCAGGAAGGAAAGTCTTCATCCGGTGACTCCACCCAAAAAAAATTCAATTAAGTCGTTCCAATGACAAGCCAACTGCTGGCAGAGTCGTGTATGTATACAAGTAAAATGCAACAGTTCCCATTCTCCAACTTGTGTTAAACCCAGTTGACTGTCTTTGGTAGATCCATCTCCATAAAACAATTGGAAAAAAAAATAATAAAATCTCCATACAACAATATATACAACTACTCCTGGACAAAATGATAACATATAAAAGTCATTTCCCAGTATTGGCCCTATAGTGAAGGTTCTTAGAGTGGTGGACTGGGTAGATATCTAACCTCCAAAGTCCAACAAAAAGCATGAATGCAATAAAAAAACATCAATAACTACTTTCAATATTCAATACACACTCCCTAAGAGGTACACGCAGGGACAAGTAAGAGAAACTTTGGGTCAATGAAAGGAACCGTGTTAAATGATTACCATAGGAACCTAAGAAAGTAAATTAGTTTTAAAGTTACCAGAAGGCACAGATTTGACTAGGAAAGTATGTCTTGAAATAGCTGGTTCGGGGGAAATTAAATTCGGAACATTTCTTGATACGGTCCACAGTTGATTAAGATAAGAGATATTTTATGCCTAACAAGAAAAGGTTTTGCATCACAGAGACAGAAGATCGTTGTGCATAACGTTGAGCACCATCTCTTTCCATATGACAAAACATCTTTACGTGGTAGAAGATGAAGGCGAAGATGATGTAGCATCTTATGATTAATAACTAACAGAACCCATACATTAAAATGTTTTAAAATTCATCAATGTTCTGCATCATTATAAGTTAATTATCCTCAACCCAGTGCGAGAAAATATGTTGCCTTTTACGAAGCAGGCTTCAAAGGAGAAAAAACTGAGTATATGGCTATGTAGCCATTTAATAATGCATACCATACGATTCTCATAAAATGAATAAACTTTTCAGTTCCAACCTCCTCAATGTCCAAAAAAAAATTCTAACAACCAAACAGCATCAACATTCTAAAGCTGAGTTCCAACGCTTCTAGGCTACATACCTAAGGCAACACAAGTAGATTTCAAATGCAGGTACCAATTATGTCAATAGGGGATCTGGGAATTCATGTGAGACGGTGGAAATCAGAACAATACATCTTTGGTGTGCTTTAACCATGATAGATGTGCTCACTGTACCACCTATGTTCCCAAACTAATATTGCAAATTTTTCATAGGAGGTCAGCTACCTATATCTCATCCAAGGGACATTATGTAACCAATGAAGAACTCACTATGATGACAAATAAAGACTATAGGTTGTACTACAGCATCGTGATTGGCTACACCAGAGTGTAAAAAGAAGGGATAACAATCCAACCAACCAAAATTGAGTTTGTTGCAAAGAGAGATTATCACAATTATCATTGAAGGGGGATCTAGTAAGAGTTTGTCGAGAGTCTTGGACTAAAGAGAGAGAACAATCAAAATACAAGTTGAATGGCATGGCTAACTGATGAATGAATTATTGAATTACAATAAATTAATTCTAGTTTTAATTAGGAAGTCCACAGTGGTAAAGGGCACAATTTACTCTATAGGTTTGACAAGATTTCAGGTGGCATGAGACTCGCCATGTGTAAGTATAGGCAGTGTCCATTGCCAAACATCATCCAATAACCAATTTTGATAAGAAAGCTTTTGGTGCAAAGTAGACATGACAGAAAAGTGTGCAATTCCTTATGCAAAATTGCATGTATTCTAGCACAGTGGTTCTTACAAAGTCGGAATGGAAGTTTTCAAATGAAAGATATTTCTCTATCGAATTCAAAGATTTAGCTATGAATGTCCCCCACTCAGGGAAACGATCACATATATAGACCTTTGCTATGAAATTCAGAGATATACCTTGTAAAGAAATTAGTCACCAGAACTCCCCCCTACTTCTTTACAAGCAGCTTGCTGGAGACCACTGTTTGAAAAGAGCATATTTTTTTATATAAAATTAAGCTTCCTCTCATCACAATTGAATTCTGACATCAACTAAAAACCGTTATGTGGACTAATTATATATCTTCATAATATTTTTAGAAAATGAAATTAAGGAATGTTCTTGCAAGAGGAATCTGTGCTTTGTGCGTGACAATCTTTAAACCATTTCTCTCTTCTATTTGTACCAAAGCAACCAAAAGAAAAAAGTTATAGCGGTGCATTCTTCTAAATTCAAAATATCTTTTAACATCCATAGTAGTTCCTTAAAGAAAAGAAAGAAAGGAATTATCCCAAATATCATTTATTGAAAATTTCAGTAAAAAGATGAAGGTAACAAATGAAAAGTGAGATTCCAAGCAAGCACAAAGACATGATTCAAAATTTATTAGCTCGTTTAATGAAGTAGTCACAACCTAATCAATTTGCAAACAACAATTAAAGCTTGGGAAGAAAAAGAAACAAATATCATAGGTTCCTCGGAAATAAATGAAGTTCATGTCCATGTCATCCACATATGTAAGCAACCCAATTTTCAAACCAGGTTAAAGTAACATATTCAAATGGCATAATTATATAATTTTTGGTTTCAAATAAATTCGTAATTGTAAACGTAAGTGAAACAGAAAATGGATGATACATATGCAGATGTGAGCCCGTCATTGAATTATAGGAATAGAGAAACCCACCTCAAATGGAGCAAGACCAGTCTGTCCATCTAGATTTAAGACTGAAATACCCATAACCAATCTGAACAAAGGTTCAGCAGTACAATAGCCGGCCAACAACCCCAGCATATAATTATAGTAATTGGACCTCAAAATGAACCTCTGAACTTTAAGATCTTTCTTAGTCCGCCATATTCTATATAAGCACAGAGCCAGTAGAGCCAAATGGGAAACTGAAACCACCAGAGAGTCAATTGCACAAGGTGTGTAAACTCCAAATGCATTGTCCACTGCTTTTGCCCACACCCCATTTGTCACCGGCCGACAATACCAAGACACTGGCTTGAAAGCCATCTTTAAGAACTCCTCTACCAGTATTATACACTAAAAGCACATCACCACTGTACTCTCACCTTTTCTTTCACTAGTAGAGTTGTACATCACTCTTAAGATAAGTACTTATCACAAGAAGTGAGGACGCAGTTCCTGCAAATACATTAGCCCAGTATCAAGAACAGAATATGCATAATACAAGACAAAAAAAAAAAAAAAAAATCTCCCAGTGTAAACTACCACTGCAAATGTGTAAACAACATTGAACCTTGCTAATTGTTTCAATGCAAGTATATCCAGCAAAAAGTTGTATCCAGGAGTAAAAATATTTAATTTTAGGTGAACAAATATATTCAATATTCAAGCAAACAGGAGATAAATGATATATCATCCAAACCAATAGTTGACTTTTGTTTGAGATAATTGGACATAAGGCTCTATTTGTTTATACAGAAAAACATTTCTACATAAAGGTTTTCTTGCAAATAAAAATGAAAGTCATGAATGATAAAAAATAAATACTAATTGTAACCCAAAGGACATTATGAATTATCTCTGCGTATCACCGAAATATGAACCCTGATAAACATGGAGCCTTCAAGAAAGTACTTTTTTTCCCTTGAAAAGTCACCCCTATAACAAAATTCCAGTAAGTTTTTTTTTTTTTTTTTTTTTTTTTTTTGAGGAACTTTTTTTCTTTGAAACAAACAGAGCGTGGAGATACGCTTCAGCAAATTGAAAACCAAAGTTAGAACACGCAGAGTAAACTGTTGCAATTATAGGAAGACACTAAAAACCAGTTAAATTTTCTGTTAAATTGATTGGAGAACCCACGAAGATTAAAGAAAATAAATATTTGAATTTCATGATTCACATTCTTTCGATCCTTTCAAAAAAAAAAAAAGGGAAAAAGAAAAAACTCACTCGAACTAAAGCCATAGCGTTGTATAACGCTCAATTGACTGAAGACGACTTCTTATCTCAGTTCTCAAACAATGATAAAAATAATTAATACATAAATAAAATCTAAAAAATTTTGCTGCCATTTCTTAGCAACCAAACAGAGAAAACTAAAGAAAATCCAATCCAAAGCCCAATAAACGCAACGTAGCTAAATTTATATGAATATAACTTATAATCACTAAATTGTCCTTAATCAACGCTAAAGAAGACTGTCGAGAAACATAACAGAAGTACAGAAAAGAGCGATATGAAAAGACCAACTTTGTTAGCACATAAAACGAAAAGGCACGGTACCCATTTTTGGGATCAAGAGGCCGAGACGGTGATGGAAAAGAGAGCAGACGTTTGGTAATGCAGAGTGAGCCAAATTTTCCGTGAAAAAGTGAGCACAGAGAACAAAAAAGTTTGAGAGACAGAAAATGGAGAGAGGAGAGAGAATTTCACAGCAAAGCTCGGGAAAAAAAGTGAATATAGAGGACGAAAAAGTTTGAGAGAGAGAGAAAGTGGGAGAGCGGAGAGAGAGAGAGAGAGAGAGAGAGCGCACGAATCAAAATCTGCTATTTTGATACTACTGTAATAACAATGTTTGGATCGAGTCTCGTAGTTGGACGAAAAATCGGTGAATATTAAAATTCCTGGGCATTATGTAATCGCAACGCCAGGTCGTCACCGCTTACGATCAAACCAAAAGGCAATACGGAGTAAGGAAATACCTACCAGAATATATTTGAAAACAAAAATACAAAAAGAAAATAAAAAATAATATTCAGACACCGGATATTATTAGATGGTCTGATCATCACAAGTTGTGGCACAAGTAAAAAGCTAAATCGCACGCACTGCAAATGTCCACGTCTTCTCTGTGATTCTGTACCATATTTGTATGCTATGCATTATATGTAGATATAATTATATATGAATTATTATAATTGAATAATAAATATATAGGTAATTATTTACACTTCAAAATTTTTTATTATGAACTTGAACCCTTGCAACACTTCGAAAAAGGAGAGGTTGTTCCAGCGGTACATTTAGTAAAAAAAATTATTATTATAACTACGTAGAATCGATTTTCTAAATGAATTAAATTTATAATTTATATAAATGGATCCAATAATTATAGCTATATTAATTTGAACACTAATTAAATAACACACGGTTCATAGAAATTAATACTTCTATCTTATTTTTTTTAATATGTTAACATTTTAATATACTATCGAGGAGGAAAAAAACAAGATTTTGAAAGCAGTCTTTTATTTAATTAAAAAAAATTCTATTTTGTTTGTAAAAGCATTGGTTAAATAATTCCATTATAATGTCATGCTCATCGGCAATTTCACATTAGTTACATAAAAGGAATACATATTTCTTTTTTCTAAAAAAAAGAAGAAAAACATGTAGGCATAAATAATAAAAAAAAGAAAAAAAAATTAGGCATTCTTTCTCATAGTGGTAGAAAATGAATCCCTTTAACAGTATAAAATGAATATTAATAAAAATTAATATTATGACGCACAATATAATTCTCAGGAAAAAATAAATAAAGTAGATAAATTTTAAGAAAAAACCAAGATTTGTATAGGTCTAATGACTGTATAGAAATACAAATATAGTATAAATATATAATATTTAATGGTACATATTATATATACCATTATATTAAAATATATATTATATATAATATTATAATGGTATATATATATATATATATATAAAAGGTGAGTAAATAAAAGAAGTTGAACAAGAAGAAGAGCACGTGATGTTACAATGGTGAATGATATGCGGTTAAGAGTCACGGTGAAGTAGATATATATGTGGGGTATATTAAAATAAGTACAGTTATTTTTGTCTCAAAAATATATGAGAAAACTCAATGTTCAAATAGTTTTCTTTTAGTTAATTTCGGTCAGTCAATCACCCCAGAATAATTGAGAGGAATTTTTTTTGAGAAAAAAATTTTTAAAAAAAATTTAATGCAAAATACAAATAAAAAAAAAAGAGGTTTGATATAGTTGACCCTATAACACATGTTCTTATGTTCTTATTAATTCAAATGACGAATTCTGACAATTGACTCTGCCCAATGTTTACAGTTCTAAGTGGGAGTAGGTGGAAGAGGAGGATGTCACGTTGATATAAAATTTGAGGTATCTTCTACTACTCCTAATATGGACTCACCATTAACCTTCATTTTAAATATTAGGTAATAGTTTGAATATTTATTACTATACTATGAACCTACGAGGGTACAAAATTAATTAATTATTTGAAACAGAGACAGAGACATCTCCAATTTAGGGTTCACATTCAATAAAAATATTTTATTTTAAGAAAGAAACTAAATCCTAAATTTGTGTTACCTAATCCATTATATATATTTTATTTTTTTGCCAGCCGACTTATATGTTTGTTGCTCAATGTGAATAATCCAATGACCAATCCCAATATTATAAATTTATAAATTACTTTTAACTCAAAAAAAAATTAATTACGTTTTGGAACACTGAGTTGGCACTTTGAATTTGAATTAGAAAAAATTTAAAACAAAATTCCGCACTCCCAAAGATAGTATAATTGTTTAACTAAAAAAAAGAATATTTTAATTCAAAATTTCAATTAAAGTGCAGTATAGTCTAAAGAATTTTATGTTCCAAAAGTTTGAACGATTTTCATTTCGAAATTAAAAATTAAATAAAAACCATTTAAAAGCATTTCATCAATCGGCAAAAAGATTAAAAAAATGCACTAATTTTATATATGAAAGGGAAGAAAATTCAACCCGGGGTTGAATAGGAATTTAATTATATTAATTGTGTTTCGTGGTCTGCAAGAACCCAAAGTATTATTGTATTACAATCACGCATTATGTCACTGATTCACTTATAGTAGTAGCAATTTGAAATTGTCATTACCAAATCATAAGTAGTTTATGTCGCGTGCACACAAATACGACACAATACGAATATATCGATTAGTTAAATTTTAAAAAAAGTAAGATGTGGGTACGATTTGGACACAATTATATATAAATATGAATTTATTTATATACATGCATTGAGTAATATTATTATAAAACTTTAATTCATTTTTAATTTTATATTAGGAGTTGTAATGATTTTTATATCATACATACAGTTATTCCATTAGTTTGTCATAATAATATTTTTATTTTAAATGAACAAATAATATTTAACGCTTCGCTTTTGATATATAATATCAAATTTTCTTAAAGAAATAAGTTTAAAGTTTTAAAATGCGTTCATATTATTTTTAAGATTATCATGTAGACTTATATTAAAAATGTTTGAAATTATCAGTCTAAGTACTATTCAAAGAAGTGTTGGCGAAGTATCCAAAAATATTTAAAATAATAATTTTTATTTTTATTTTTTATGAATGTATATGACCACGACATAGATAAGATTTCTTCTGTGTCCATGTTGTATATAAATTCATACAGTTTTTTCTACCATAAATCAAAGTCATGCCCCCGTACCTGGAACTTATTTATTTTATTTTCTACGGAGTATGAATCATGCATGAACCCAATTACCGAGAAATAAGGTGTAATTGATAATTTGATATAGAAATAATAAGGTGTAATTGATATTTTAATTGGGAGTGGATTGTTAGTTATGACTTTGCTTACGCTGACCAGTAGGATATAGTCTTTTTCAGTTGCTAGTCAAATACGGTCGGCAGTAGTAGTTTTCTTGCTTTTATGAATGAAAATCAGTGACCAAAAATATTTATACATATATTAAAAAACATGTACCAAAATCTGGAAAGGCAGAGTTCATTTAATTTTTTGTTTTTTATCTAACGGATCATTGAAATTGAACCAAGATATTTATGAATAAAAATTTTGATATAGCTACCTAGTATTTGTATGTGCGTGGGCAAATTTGGCTTCGAAGTTAAGTTTAATTTAGAATGTGCAAACAAAATGTAAGGTGAGTCTTGTTGGTTATAAGTTATTGTCCATCGACTTGCCGATTAAACTAAAGATTGGAGTGAGAACTGAAAAATTCAGATAGAAGTTACTTCGTAATATTTTGAGTCCAAGTGTCAAAAAAAACATCTTTAATGCATACTTGCGGTAGAGATGTTTTTTTTATTATAATATTACTTTTGGTGTGCGAATAAGATGGAATGTAAGTGAGAATTGAATGGTTATTCTCATTTTATTGTTTAGTTGTAAATATGTATTTTGTAGGAATGGACTAATGTAAAATTTTAAAAAGTATTAAATTCTCCAAAATATCCCTATTAGTTACAAAAAAATTTAAATTGACAAAATGACACTCTTATATAATTTTTTAAACGGAAATGGTTGCGGTGGTTGATGGTGGTAGAGATGAAAAGTGATAGTGGTATTAGAAGGTGACAGCGATGATGGCAGAAGGCAACAGGGTATTGGTAAAAGGCAGCGTTACTAGGCGTCAGTCGTGTAGGTGATAATGGTGGAAGGTAGTGGCGGTGGCAGTGGTGTGGTGGTGGTGGAAGATGGCAGTGGTGCAGGTGGTGGTGGTGAAAAGCGGCAATAGAGGTGGTAGTGGTGAGAGGCAATGACGGTGGAAGTCGGTGGCGGTAGTTTTGAAGTTGGTGGCGGTAGTTTTGAAGTTGGCGATGGAAGTCGGTAGCGGGGAGGTGGAGGTGGCGGTGGCAATGGTGGAAAATGGGGGTGGTGGTGATGGAGGTGGCATCGGTGGAAGGTGGTGGCGGCAACAGTGGTGGAAGGTGGCGGCGGCGACAATGGTGGAAGGTGGTGATGGTGATGGATCAAATCGGTGGCAATGGTGGTGGCGGCGGTGGTGGTGGAAGTCGGTTGCTGTAGCGGTGGCGGTGACAATGACTATAATACCCTATATTTCCATGTATAGGTTGACCAGGCCCACAATCGAAAGCACGGGGATATCAAAAACAAAGTGGCAATAAACGAGCACAGAATACAAAATGATAAATAAGAATTAAAAAAAAAAAAACACTAAAATAAAAATCCAATATTTAAATCCTCAGAATAAATTTTCATTAATTAATTCTTTTGATACAATTAATACTCCAGTAATACAACTAGGGAATCCATATTGTGTGGACCCCTAGAAAACCAAAACTAAAAAGTAATAGTAAGAACTGTCTACATCTGAAAACTAAAACTCCTATATAAAATCGGAAGAGTGAAATAGACTGGCCTCTGCTCAGCATGAACCATCTCGACACCTGATAAATACCTGAAAAATAATTGTGGGTCAGGCCCACGAATAAGTTTTACCCTACTACAATCCAAGCAGAGATCCGATACACGTATACATTCTAATCAACTCAACAATAACTAAGTAGTCCATATATATATAAATACACATTAAGGATGCTCACAAGGCTATAGGTCTGCCTCAACCTGAATAGTAGGCAACATGCAAATCGCACATAAAGTGGGCATGAGTACCTAGACCTAACAGGGTACACAGATGTCTACTATATCCAGTTATCCATCTTAGGCAATATACGCACCATACCATGATCATGAGACTCAAGCTCATATCATGACATATAACTGTATATATAAAATCCATCTATCCAAACATAAAAATAATCAATGACATGTCATTCAATTATTCGTTGACCTGACACGAACAGGTAAGACTTAACA